AGGTGGGATGTGGGCATTTTGAGTCCACCCTACTTTTCCCTGTATTCTGAAGGAGCAGATGACCTTGACAAGGGAAGAGGCAATGGGAGAGGAGTTGGTATCCTGCTTGGAACACCTGCCATAGGAAGAAGGAAGGGATGGGCTGGGGAGAACCTGAAATGATTGTCCAGTTACTTGCGACTGGACTCAGGTGCGAAACCAGACACTGTTGACCCTCCCTAGAACAAGAAGCAGCTTACCATCAGTCTAAAGGTTGGGGACCAGCAAGGGAAACCAAGAAGAAGGTCAAGGAGCAAGTGAAACTAGATCCTTGAGGAAAGTGAAGTTGGTGTCAGTGTCCATTCCACTCTGCATCTGTGTGCTTAGGGAGCTGATGGCGTGGAGGAGGGCAGAGGAGAAAAGCCAGGAGAATGTAAAGGTGGGAGTGGCTCTAGCTTCATGCTGATGTGCATCCTGGGTAAAGTGCAGTGGTAATGGCTCAAGGGGCTGGGTTCCTGCCATCAGCGAGGAAGACCTGGGTTGCATCCCTAGCCTAGAGCTGCTGCGGCACTGAGTCAGCAGATGGGAGTTCATTCTCTATGTGTCTCAGCACCATAAAACCAACCAAAGGACGCATCCACAGTTAGGGGGAAAGCTTGTAAAAGAATGTAGAGGCTGGGGATAGGGCTGGGAGCTGAGCTTTGGGAGTTACCCTGAGGGCGAGAGCAGGCTTGAAAGGTGGAAGGATAGGCTGGGGGCATTGTAGAGGTGAAGGAATTGCTGGTGACAAGGTGCAAGTGGTGGACATCTGATCGGACTGCCAAAAAAAAAAAAAAAGTGAGGGTGAAGGTCGATGGGGAGGACAAGGGCCACAGCCTTGCTGCCAGGACGGGCTGAGTCATCGGGATGGCCAGGACGATGTCTGGTGTCCAGGACGCTTGACATTGATATGGCCATTGTTTTAAATAAGTCCAGGTGGAAGATGGCAGGAAATGTGGACAATGTCCTGATGGCTGATAAGAACTAGGGCCGATGGCAGATCACTTGCAACTAGGAAGGACGGAAGCCCCCTACCCTTTGAATTTTTGTTAACATTAGAAGAGTGAGAGCCGAGCCTGAAGGGGAAGAAGTGGGACCAAGTCAAAGCCACAGGCATGTTCCAACTCCTGCAGACCTCAGCGACAGGGCGAGGTGCCTGGCTAGAGCATCCTGAGAGATTGCCGTGCTGGGACACAGAGCAGTTTCCCATGTTGCATGAAGAGCCCAATACCCAGTAGCTCAGCATTTTCCTCCCACCAGAACCCTGTTTATTCTGGAAGTTCCAAACAAGCAGGAGAAAGGGATCTGGGCACCAGGAATGAATTTCCACAGTGCTTCCTCAGTCCTCATCTCTAACAGGAAACACTACTGCCTTGTGCAAGGTTGTTTCCCGGCTGGGCACTGCCGCATGTGCCCTTTCAGCACCACACTCCATCGCCCATCAGAAGATTTATGGCGACTCTGTTCTTCTGGCTCAAGAGGCTCCTTAGGGCAAAGATTGTAATTCACTTTTGTGCCCTCAGCACCTGGCACGACGCCTGGCATGGCATAGTCAGTAAGTTACTTAATAAATACTTGCAGGACGAACACCAGTGACCTTCGGCTCATCCACAGAGTGCCGTGCCGGCATTCCCCTTCACAAAGGAGCTGGGGACAGCAGCCACTTATCCAAGACCATACAGCTGCTCAGTAGAAGAGTAGGACTCGTCTCCAGACCCCTAGCCTGGTCCTCACCAGACAGCATCACTTTCCATGGCCCCTCTTGCTAGACCTTGAGCTTGGAGAGGAATAATGCTACTGGTGTCTCTACGTGCAGACGCCTTCACACACACCACCACCACCACCACCTCCCTCCCTACCACCTCTATTCAACTCTGTCCTGTGCCTCAGGAACTTGGTCGAGGAAAGAAATAGGACTGAGGAAAACTTGAGGACTACTGGCTCCTGTTGAGCATGTGCGGGTCTGGGAGTCCCTAAAACAACATGCTGTGTGGAGCCCAGACTCAGTCAGGCTTTACAGGTGGTTCCCGAGGCCTGACCTCTGCTGGGAGCACATTTTCAAACAGGAAGTCAGTAAGCTGGAGGGTCTCATGGGTCCCTACTGGCACCATGTACATTGAGAGTTAAAAACAGGGTTTGGAGTCCTGGTTTCCATGTTGTGAGGCAAGGCCTTCAGACTTACCTTTTCTCTTGATGTAACTGGCCCCCTTTCATCTGGAATATTTTGTTTCCCCCAGTCTGTACCTACGATACTCTGTGTGGTGAATGTATGATATTTTTTTCTGTTTGTCTCACCACCCTCTTTTATGTATGTATTTATTTGAAAGGCAGAGCAATAGGGGAGGGAAGGAACAGGGCAGGAAGAGAGAGATATTTTCTATTTATTAGTTCACTCTCCAGGTAGCCACTATAGTTGGGGCTAGGCCAGGCTGAAGCCAAGAGCCTGAAATTTCCTTCAGATTTCCCATGTGGGTGGCAGGAGTCCAAGTCTTCAGGCTATCTTCGACTGCATTCCCAGGTATGTTAGCAGAAAGTTGGATCACAGGCAGAACAGTTGGGGTTTGAAATGGTGCTCCAATATGGGATGTAGCATCTCAGAGAGTGGTTTAACCCACTATGCCACAGTGCCAGCCCCTATTATTTGTGCATTTATGCTTCCAATACACAATTTCATCACTGCATGATTCTCCCTGCATTGCATTTGGTTCCTGTGTGTGTCCCCCAGGTATATCACAAATATGAATACGGACATTACAGGATACCTGTCTATAGGTCAAATGCCCATACCTACCACTAGGTGTTCACATAATTTAAACAAAAGAACAAAACTTCAGGTGATTTTTTTCAAATATTCTAAAATTATTTGTCCTGCAGATGATTTTAAACTTATACACCTCCAGAGAGCCAAGAACGAAGAAAAATGGAGGAACCTAATGACTACTGCCTATATAATCTCTCCTTAAAAAGCCCTACCTTGTAAGCCTGGCATTGTGGCATACTGGGTAAAGCTGTTGCCATCTAAAAAATGCTGGCCTCCCCATATGGGTAAAAGTTCAAGTTCTGGCTGCTTTGTTTCCAATCCAACTCCTTGCTGATATACCTAAGGGAAAACAACCCAGATGCTTGGGTCCCTGCACCCACATGGGAGACCCAGAAGCTCCCAGCTTTAGTCTGGCCATTTAGGGAGTGAATCGGCAAATGGAAGATCTCTCCCTCTCTCTGTGCTTATGACTTTCAAATAAATAAAATAAATCTTTTTTTTTAAATAATTTTTTAAAAATTTTGTCAATCTTTACATAGTTAATTTGGGCAAAAAGAGTCAAGGGCTACAGGAAAGTGGGTAAGGCTATTATTTCCCTATTGTTTCCTTCATATATCTGAGGTAGAGGGGGATATTGAGGGAGAAGCCCCACCCGGTTTCCCACCCACCCCAAGTCCCGCATGTGGGGCATGCTCCGAGATGCTCGTTGAAGTGGTTTCAATAGGTCACCAGTTTTGAAATTGCTGCCAATCTTGCCTCTCCAAACACGATGAGGTTGTTGAAAAATCCATTAATTGACATTGTCCATCATGGCTTCTGGGACCCAGAAGCTCCCAGCTTCAGTCTGGCCATTTAGGGAGTGAATTGGCAGAAGGAAGATCTCTCCCTCTCTCCGTACTTATGACTTTCAAATAAATAAAATAAATCTTAAAAAAAAAAGTGCCACAGTGCTTCTATCATAGGGACTCTAACAACCAAAAGCAATCCAGTCATTTTTTAAAAACAATTATTTATTTTTATTGGAAAGGTAGATTCACAGAAAGAGGGGGAGACAGAACTATCTGTCTGCTGGTTCACTCCCCAAGTGAACAGCTGGAGCTGAGCTGATCTGAAGCCAGGAGCCAGGAGCTTCTTCTGGGTTTGCCATGTGGATGCAGGGTCCCAAGGCTTTGGGCCGTCCTCGACTGCTTTCCCAGGCCACAAGCAGGGAGCTGGATGGGAAGTGGAGCAGCCAGGACACAAATTGGTGCCCATATGGGATCCTGGCTTGCAAGGGGAGGATAACCAATTGAGTCATCGCACCGGGCCCTCAATCTACTCATTTTCCAAGGCCCCATCTTCAGACACTGTTGTTGAATTAAGTGCATCCTTACGCTAGTAACATAATTCTGAGGTTCAAACCTCCAATGCATGACCATTCGAAACCGCTCTAACTTGTAACACCAGCCCTCAGGAACACGTGCCACAGGCATGGACAAGTCAACACCTGCCAGGCCTCTGGGCCCATGCTCTCTGCTGACCAACGCCCTCCACACAGCAGGACGTGGGGCTAGTGATCACCTGAGCTCACCAAGCAGGGACTGGTTTTCTTGCTCACAGCACATGGATGAAGACCGTGAACACACACAGCCTGGGCTTACCAGTCAACCACCCACTGGGGGTAGAATCTGCACAAACACATTAGCTATTGGAGCCACAAATGGAGGTGGTTTGGAGCTAAGTGATGGATCCAGTGCTCGGGGTACCTGGAGCAAGGTGGCTCTCTGAGAGCATCCTCGGCTCCATTAGGTCAGCCCAGCAGCTGCTCTGGCTGTGCGCCTCACAAGCCACTTCGAGAAGCTTCCACAGCCGCCAGACCCGAGGGAGCGCAAAGCTGTGGCCCGGAACTCCACGGGAGGGGCTCATCCTCTGCTCCTCCTAAGGCCGGGCACCCCGGGAGGCCTTCTCCTGCCGCCTCGTCCTCTCCTCGGAGGTCTGAGGGAAACCTGGAGTCGGGCCTTCCGTACAGCGGGCGGGCGAGGCCCCGCGCGGCCCGGCGCCCCCCGGCGTCTCGCAGCCGCGCCGCCCGGGGGCGGAGGGACAGCAGCAGGTGACGACGGCCCCGAGGCCGCCGGGCAGAGGGCTATAAATAGGGGAGCGCGTCAGCCGCGGGCGGCAGCGGCGGCCGGCGGGCAGGGGCCTAGAGGGCCGGGCCGAGAGAAGGCCTGAGGGGAGGCCAAGGAGCCGGGCGGGCGCCATGGGGTCGCGGAGGCTCCCCAGCCGCGGCTGGGGTTCGGGAGGACGGTCGGGGGCGGGAGGCGACGGCGAGGACGACGGGCCCGTGTGGACCCCCAGCCCCGCCAGCCGCAGCTACCTGCTCAGCGTGCGGCCCGAGACCAGGTGAGCGGCGCCGCGGGGGCCGGGCGGGCCGGGCGGGTCGGGGCGGCCGCGGCGGGAGGCCTCGGTGGGGCCTTAGAGGCCCGGAGCGCCCTGGAGTTTTCCAAACCTGAAGGCCCGAGGCCGGGGACTTTGCTAGGCCAGAAAGGCCGGGAGAGCCCTCTTGTACACCCTGTCCTTTTGCGGCCCTTGGGCTTCAGGCCTCTGGCCACAGAGGCTCACTGAGAGAATGAAGGCCCCCTTTTTTTCTGCTTGTGTTGTGGGGCGGGAGGTGGGGTGGGGTTATTTTTCAAGTCCCAAAAGCTTTCGTTATCTCCCTCACCCGGGCCCTGGCTCCATGGCCTCGGATTCCACAGCCAGCGATAAGCACACAGCCCGAGTGGCTGACATTCTTTCCTGCTGGGCAGGAGGGAGCCACCCCAAAGGGTGGGAGGAGGCGGTGGGAGTGGGCTGGGTTGCGCTTTGGGGTGCCGGTATCTTTGTGGGGGCTGGTGAGATGAGGTGTGGAGATTGAAGGTGTTGCAGCCTTGAGAGTGGCCGTTACCCTGCCCAGCCTGAGGACCTGGGGATGGAGGGACCACAGAGGAGAGATGGCAATGTGGAGTCCTTTACTGGCCTTCCAAGGGCTGAGAAGTGGATGAGTTGTTTTAGAAGAGGGGTTGGTGCAGGGAGCAACACAGGCAGACAGTGGAGGAGCTGGAGTTCCTCAGACGGGACAGGCAAATGCACACCACAGTGCATTGCTGTGGAGACACGCTTCCTGCTGTTCAGCTCCCTCATTTCCTTTCCAAAGGATAGCGTGAGGATTTGGCTCTTGGGCTAGGGACTCCTTTCTGGGCTCCTCAATTAGGCTGAGTGTCAGTCATGCAGAAAACAACCATTCCTCCCTTGACTCTGCCCAGAGACCACCTCCTTCCTGTTCTCTGTTCATCCACCGGCAAGCAAGGACATTCAGGAAAAGTCCTGGCCACTTCCTCGTGGATTGGCTGAGTCGTGTTGACCTTGGAGTTGGAAAAGTTCAACTGTAACCAGAACCGGTTTCTGCAAAAAACTTGTCAAATGGTGTCACATGTCTCGGGCAGGGCGCAGGACTGGTCTTAGTGGTTGAGTCAGACTGGACAGGTCTCCTGGTTGCCAGGAAAGAAAGTCCCTGTCCCCTGAGGACTGGCTCTGTGGCAACCAGAAGGTGAACACTGGTTTCCGTGCGTGGTGAAGCTGACTTCCTGTGGAAGTGTCACACACCTCACAGGGACCTTGTTTGGGATTGGCCTCCTGGGTTTGGGCATTGTGGAAGGAACACAAGGTATGTTTGGGCAAGGTGGAAGGGCTGGAAGCAGGATTCCTCTCAGAGACAGTGACATGGAGGGAGGAAAAGGGTGCAGAATCAGGCAGAACCTGGGGAAGGAGGGAAGGTCAGGGCTTTTAGAAAAAGGATACATAGCAGTCAGGTGCTGCTGCCTGGCTGCACAGTGACATGGTACCACATTCTAACTGCGCACCTGATGAACACACAGCTGAAAGCTAGGGCTGGGATACAGAAGTCTGCCCAAGTCCCCTTAGATCTAAATGAGAATGCTCTCAAAAGGGTTTTCTTTTCTTTTTTTTTTTTTTTTTTTTTTAAATCAAGGTTGTGGAGGCTGTGAGAGAGGGGTTTCCCAGCCTAGTACTCTGGGTCTGTTTTGTCCTTGCAGAATTTGTCACTGCTCCCGCCAGTTGGTCTCGGATTTTAAGGGACAAGGGAACTCAATTTCTCTGGGAGAACCTTTGGCCAAAGAGGAGGCACATGGGAGCAGGGTTGTGCTGGGGACAGAAAGAGGGGTGGTTCCCCATTCTCTAGCAAGACCTGCATTCTCTCGTCCCTCAGAATAATCTGCCTGCCTGTGGGGATGCAGAGAGGACCTTGGGACACAAGGAAGGGGGAGCTCTGCTGCTGTGTCTGTCTCAGCCCTCAAGGTCTGGCCCTGGCTCCAGCCTTTTCTGACTGCCTTTCTGTGAATGTGCCTGGAGCCATTGTCATAGGCCATCAGGAGGATGGACTGGTGGCTGCTGCCCCGGGCAGCAGGAACCCTGGCCTAGAGACTAGACCTGCTCTTCCCTGCATACATGACACGTCCTGCCCTGCCATGACCATGAGGGTTTCCTGTCCAAGGGCAGCTGAAGACTGTTTCCAGTGCACACTAGGCTCTGAGGCCAGCACACAGATAGTTCCCCACCCCCCTGAGATGTTAGGCCTGGTCCTCTCAATCTTCCAGACTCAGTGACAGCGTCCCTGTCCAAACATGGAGTCTGGGATGCTGGAGGAGGTTCAGGCCGCACAGCTGGATGGAAGCAGTGAATTAGAAAGCTAGCCCCTTCCCCCTTCCTTGAGTCCTCAGACCTAAAGAAGGAGAAATCTGCATTCTCAGGTGAGGGAGCGGAGTCTGCTATCAGGAAAGGATGCCTGGGAACCTTGGAGGTGCTGCCCTTGCAACCTCCAGGGGCTTTTTAAGCTCTGAGCCAAGGCAACTGTCTCCTGCACCTGGCTGCTCTTGGCAGTTGTGGGAGGAGGGGTGCGTGGCAGGACCCTGCTTGTTTGAAAATGCATTCTCCCTCCTTCCCCATAGCTTCTGTCTTTATTCCAGCAGTGGTTGAATACTGTATGCGTAGCATTGTGCCAAGAACTACAAAACTACATAAAGGGCTGAGTTTTGAAACCTGAGGGACCAGGATTTAGGTCAAAACAGAAGGAAGGAGAGAGGACTTCCCAGGCAGAGAAACTGGAAGAGAAGGCTGTGGCCACGCTCAGGCTAGCTGAGTCCTGGAAAGAGAACCATGGTGGTGTGAGGGCATGAGCTGACCAGTCCAGGAGCTGAGGCACAGTGTTAGAATGTGCAGCGGGGAACTGCAGTGTTTTGTTTGGACGAGTGATGCTGGTGGGAGTTAAGGGGCAAGGGGTAGAGCTGATGTCAAATATGGAGCCATGGGTCCGAGTCAGTCCGCAGCATGAACAAAGGGAAAGGGAGAAAGGAGGGCCCAAAACTGATTGGTCCTAGGGGACAAGAAGAGGGAAGACTGAAACTGGCAGTTTGTTTTCTTTTTTACAATTGGTTTACAGAGAGGAGAGCTCTTCTATCTGCCAGTTCACTCCGCAAATGACCATAAAGGCCAGGGCTGGGCTAGGCTTCATCCGGGTCTCCCACAGGGGTGCCAAGGTGCCCAAGCACTTGGACTATACTCTACTGCTTTCCCAGGTACATTAGCGGAGAGCTGATTTGAAGTGGATCAACTGGGGACTCAAACTAGCGTCTGTCAGAGATGCTGACATCGCAAGTGGCAGCTTAGCTCCCTGTGCCACCAGGCCAGCTCCAACACAGCAGGTTTTGAGCTCTGCAGTTTAGAGAACTCCAGTGGAACTCACAAATCAAGAGCCCTGGAGGGAAGCCAGGTTTGGTGGGGGGAGATAATGGGTTTGGCTCTGTGATTCCAGAGATGGACTTTGTAGAACATTGGACAAGAAGTGCAGGTTTAGAAGGAGTGTGCTTCTCATGGCAGGAGCTGCTGAAGGGAGTGAGTGTGGCCAGGCCAGCCTAGGGTGAGAGCTGCAGATGTTTGTGTTGGGAAGGACCAGGGAGAGTCAAAGTTGACTCATCACCAAGTCAGCTGGGGTACGCTCAGGGCAGTCCTGTGTGGGTCAGCACCCGGTTTCTCCCCAGCTGCCCCAAGCAGGAGTGGGGGATCCAGCCGCTGGGCAGGACGGGCCTGCTGCTGGACTGCCTGAGGAGTGGACGCCCTGCTCCCTGCTCAATTATCTGCTTTGTTTCTCTCCTCTTCACTCCTCTAGCTGGTTTGCCTTGTGGCTTCTTTAACTGTACTTTAACATATTAATGGTGGGTGTGTATAAGCCACCTGTCTCCTTCCCAGGCATTTCCAGGAACCAGACTCTTCTCTCCCAGAGGACTGAGGCAGCGGCACGAGCTGCCCCCTGCCTGGTGCCAGAAGGCTCCAAGCTCCCTGGGAGCTTTCTCAGAGCAGTCCTTCCCCCCTACACCAGGGATCTACTTCCTATCTAACCACCTTGGTTCCGGCTGCCTTTAACGAGCTCTTGGTTTCAGATGCGTTGGTGTTGGGGCAGTGAGGCCACTTGCTAACTGGAGCAGGCCAACCAAGACAGCTGGACCCTTTTAATAGAAAGGCCTGCGGGCTCCAGATGGTGGCCGATTAATACTTTGCGACTGTTGTTGACTTCGCCTCTCCCTCTCCTTGCTTTTGGGCCTAATGATTCCATTTGCTGTTTTTGCTTAGCTTATCCAGCAACCGGTTGCCTCACCCCAGCTCTGGAAGGTAAACACACAATGCATTCCACTCCTTGGACTGCTCTTTTCTTGGGTCTGGACCTTGAGGGGTCCCTGGGGGGCTGCTTGTGCACTAATGAGGCTGCATGGGGTGCGGAATGGGCAGGGGGACTCAGGTGAGCATGCCTCTCCCAGGGACCTGAATTGAAGCTTGCATGAGCCATTCAAGGAGGAGCATGGGGACTCAGGAATGAAAACGAAGGCAGCGGACTCCCGGAATGTCTGCAGTGTTATCTCTGCCCGGTGGAGAGACAGGCACCTGAGAGTGGAACCAGGAACTGCCAGTCCATGCCCGCCTCCCCATCCTATTTTCCATGGTTTGTGTAAGCTCATTTCTTGTTTTGACACCTTACTGTGTCTCTCGTTCTGGCCTGGGCTGCTGCCTTTTCCATTTTGTTCCGCAGTCCCTTCAGTTCTACTTTTACCTCCTCTGTCTTGGATTTTGCTTCCTCAGGCTGCTCTGTGCCCTGAAGGTGGTAATATCCCCTGAGATCAGAGAGGCCCACAGCAGTGCTTCCTGCCCAAGCGTGGTCTCTGGCCTGCTGTCAGGCCGGGCCGGAGCCTGAGCAAGCCTGGGATGGAGGGTTGCTGCCTTTGTGATGGTCCTCTTGCCTCCTGAGCTGGGGACAGCTCTCTCCTGGCTGACCCAGCTGTCAGTCAGGGTGGGAATGTTTCCTTGCTGCTTCTCACCACCTGGGCCTCATCCTAGAGTCTGGTAGATTTGGGGAGATTGGCTGCAGTTCCTCCTTGCAGAGAAAGATTGCTGAGTGGCCAGCTGGTGTGAAGTGGCCAGCTGCTCTTGTCTGTAGCCCTGCTGGGTACCCCAGTGATGTGGCCTGGATGGCTGGAACACTGAGCAGTCTTTGCTCTGGGTGGCTCCCAGGTGAGAGAGAAAGCGAGAGATGATCGTTAATTCAAAGTGAAGATGTGGTCAGTGCTGTGAGAGGAGGTGGCAGAACAGTCAGAGCAAAGAAAGCAGAAAGTTAAGCTCCTCTGAATGCTGGAAAGACCAAGAACTTCACAGGCACCCGGTTAGTCTGTCATATCCTCAGTGAGTGGCAAGGGCTCAGTGGGATCATCTCCAGATGTGTCAACTTCCTGACTTGCTTTCTTAAAAAAATAAATGGATTTGACACAATTACAGAGAGTGGGGAGGGAAGAGAAAGAGTCTTCCTTCAGCTGGTCTACTCCCTAAAGGGCCACAACTGCCAGGAATGGTCCAAGCTGAAGCAAGAACTATCTGGGTCGCCCAGGTGGGTGGCAGGTACATCGTCTATCTTTGCCCGGCCTTCAGCAGGGAGCTGCATTGGAAGTAGAGCAGCTGGGACTTGAGCTGGCACCTGTGTGTGATGTTGGTGCTATAGGTGGAGTATTAACTTGCTTTGCCACTGTTCTAGCCCCCTTGTTGGCTTTCTATAAGACTGGTTACTGGGGCCCGGTATAATAGCCTAGTGGTTAAAGTCCTCACTTGCACATGCCAGGATCCCAGATGGACTCCAGTTCATATCCCAGCTAGTCTGCTTTCCATCCAGCTCCCTGCTTATGGCCTGGAAAAGCAGTTACAGATGGCCCATGGGAGACCAGGAAAAAACTCCTGACTCCTGGCTTTGGAGTGGCTCAGCTCTGGCTGTTGCTGCCTGTTGGGGAGTGAAGCAGTGGATGAAAGATCTTTCTGTCTGTCCTTCCCTGTATAAATCTGACTTTCCAATAAAAATAAATAAATATATATATTTTTTCTAAGTTTCCTTAAAAAGATGGGCGCTGTATCCTCAAGTCTGTAGCAGAAAACTTGAGGGGCCAGAAACTTCATAGCAACAAGAAGCTGTGAAACATTCACTGGAGCAAGGCCACGTCCGCAGTGACTCTCCTTGAACTCAGAAGGCATCCATGTTCTCTTCCCTAGAGGGAGAGCTATTGTGTCACCATACCTGTCAGCGGTCACTCAGGTTTTCCCATGTTGACGCTTACAATGTCAAGGTCAAGTGTGGAAAGTTTGAGGAGATAAGTGCTTTTTTCAGAGCCAGTCTCTGCCTGCCTCGAGCACTCATGGCTGCCAGTTTGTCAAAATCGTAGCTTCCTTGTCTCACACGAGCGGCTGAGATGGTTTTCCTAGGCTGGCCTAAGCGCCTTCCTAACCTCGGACCCACGTCGAAGCCTGGATCCACATCGAAGCTCAGGTCATGGAGGAAGCAGTGTCCCTTGTGAAGGGAGGACATAACCGGGGCTATTTATGGTTAACTATGCAGTTGTACACCTAGGATTACATTTGGCCTGGTAGCTTCTGGGGACTGTTGGTTGAGATGTGGGTATTCCCAGACAGACATTGCTGTTGATATAGGAACAGCAAGAACTGCGTAGGGCTGCTCCATGTCCCAGTGTTGATATGGAGCTGACGGCCGAGGTCCCTGGGGCCTTCTGTGGGGCTCATGAGAGACAGGGCAAGCAGTGCTCACAACAGGTGAGTTGTGAGCGAGGGAGCATTGCAGGGAGGATAAAGGAATAGTTTCTGGGGCTGCAGAGCTGTGACCCCTTTTTCAGTCATCTCCTATGAACTCCAACCTCCAGACCTATTATGGTTGGCCTCTGGGACAAAGGTTTTATGTGATTCCAGGAATTCTCCTAGGGTGCAGCCTTTCTCCTCAAATTCAAGTCCAGAGTGATATTTACAAAAAAGAAAGAAAAAGGCCATGAACAGGGACCTGTCCCCCATAGTGGGTAAGGTCACGGACCCGTTGTCCATGCTGCACACTCACCCTACCTGGTGGAGAGCCTGCAGACAGATACTGCCCCGAGTGGCCACCCACCCTGTGGGTGATTGCCTTTCTCCTCACTTGCTCCTACTCCTCTCCTCCCCACCTCCCTGCTGCTCACGAGAGGGTGTGTGCCTGGGGGCAGGGGAGGAGGGTGGGCACAGCTTGTGCACCACATGACCTGGCTGCGTGGTTGTGCTTCACACCTGGGAATGACGCCTTGTGTCTGCTGGCCCCAGGAAGGACTTGGCACAGGGGTCTGCTTCCTGCACCCAGGAGGCAGAGGACTGTAAACCTGGGTGTTGTTGGTGAGTTCCTGCTGGACCCAGTAAGCCACGATGCCCTTGAGTTCTAGCAGAGGGACTGTCACAAGAGAACTAAAGGTTGTGGCTTCACAGGGCTGGGTCTGTTTGTGATCTGGCAGAGCTGCTGGTCGGCCTGAGTTGCCAGCGCTGTTTGCACTTCAGCACGTGGTCTCCAGGGATGGATCTGGGCAGCCACAGCTGGGTGTGCCCTGCTGCTTCCTAGCCCTGATCACAATTCATTCGGGTTTCTTTTTTTCTGATGTCCCTCAAAATGAAAGTCCATTTTGGGGGCTGGACATCTGGCATCACCAGCTTGTTCTTTGTCCACTGTGGGTCTGAGCTCACACGCACAGGAGCTTTCCTTTGAGTATAAGCTCTGGAAGAAGCCCCTGGGCTCCTGTGCCCTTTGAATTCCTTTTTTGGGTTTCATGGGCCCCAAAAGACTGACTAGCTTTTCCAAAATTCTTTGGCATGAATGTAAGCTCTGCTCTGTGGCGGTTCTATGTCTGAGCTTGACCTATGTATATGTCTCCCCCATGCGCTAGCTTCCCTAGAGATGAAAGGAGAAGCCAGCACCCCTGCCCCCCACAGGCCTTAGTAGGGTTGGGGAACGGGTACCTGGGCTGGTAGTTGGATGTGCTCAGGAGGCTGGCCCTGGGCCAGCAGACCCCTCTTGTAAAGGGATTGGATCCCAGTGTTATCTGACTCCTCACTAGCACCCCTACCCCAGTGGCCAAAGGCCTGGGCTTGCTTGGAGAAAGACTTGTCCAGGTGCTAGAGCCATGGGTCCTGGATAACTTCTGGGCAGACACGGTAAGATGTCAGCTGCCTTGGTCAAGGCCAGGCTGCTGTGCTGTCTTGGGGAGGGCTGCTCTGAATAGCTCTTTGCCTCTCCTAGGAGCACCTTCTGCTCCATCATTGCTCAGCTAACAGAGGAGACCCAGCCACTATTCGAGACCACGCTCAAGTCTAAGTCTGTGTCCGAGGACAGCGACGTCAGGTTCACCTGCATTGTCACAGGTAACAGGACTGTCTGTGTGCCGCACACCTGGGCCTCTGCATAGATCAGGCTTCCAGGGGGCCGCAGGACACACATGGTGGGGAGGTGGGTGTGTGCACAGCACTGTGCCAGTCAATGTTCGGCTTCTTAGCTTCCTCTGTAATCTCCCTGTGCGGGCTGCTGTCTCCTGTTCTGGAGGCATATGCCCTGCTCTTCTCTGAGGCGATCTTTCCAAATATCCCATGTTACAGTGGAGTGGTTAGAAGTTTAAGTCACAGGCTGGAGACATGTCATGACTCCGCTTGTAGACCCTGGAGCAGACTGCCCACCTTGGCTTCCTGGCTCCCTCCCTCCACAGTTCTGTGATGTTGGGCAGGTCATCTACCCTCTCAGCCACTCGTCCTCACATGGGGGCTGTGATGGTATAAGCTTCCTGGGATTGTTGTGAGGTAAGTGAGTTCATCCTTGCAAGGTACATCTGGAAGAAGAGTACCTAGCATACAGTGAGAACCACAGAACCCATGTTGGAAAGGAAGGCCTCTTGCCTTTCACTGAGCTCCTAGGGCAGGGGGAATTCAAGTGACTGACTGCCCTGCAGTGCCTCCTGCTGATGGGGATCCAGTCACCCTGCTACACAGCCACCAGTGCAAGGAGCCCAGGCTCAGGCCCCACTGTTGTCCTGGTCTCCAGGGGTGCCCCTGCCTTAGCCTCAACTGACCCAGGGCCCTATGAGCTCTGGGCCGAGGACACGGCTCCCAGGGACCCAGAGGTCTGTGTGTGTGTCTTAGAACAGCAGCGTGATGCCTTTCGCAATTTTCCATTCCCATTGTTGTTGAAACCTCACAAGGGCCCTGTGAAGTAAGTGCTATTATTAGTCAATTTTACCAAGGAGAGAGCTGGAAGTAGACAGAGACTTGCCAGAGTCCACCAGGCTAGGCCGGTGAGATGAGGCGTTTGTGCTCTGCAGGGTCTCCACCCACATCCCCTGTATGACAGTTTCCTAGAGAAAACTGGTGCTTTTTTCATGCCATGCTTTTTAAAATTCTTTAGATATATTTACTTGTTAGAAAGTGTGGTACAGAAAGGGAGAGATAGAGAGAGACAGATATTCTATTTTATTGGTTCACTTCCCAAATGGCTACAACTGGCAGATATGGGCCTGGCTGGAGCCAGGAGCTGGGTACTACATCCTAGTCTCCCACATGGGGGGCAGCAGCCCAGGCTTGAACCAGCAGTCAGATGTGAGGTGCTAACATCATGGCAGCTAGCTCATAGCACCGCAATGCTGGCCCTGCGGCCATGCTTCTTATACGCTCTGTTCTCCATTTAGGAAGTTCTTAATCCTTTATTTTTAAGGAACTTAAATTTTATTTGATCACACTAACATGTGCATGTAGTTTAATAAAACTTCAAATTATACTAAAAGGCACACATCAGAACACAGCATCTCTCTCCTGCTTGTTTGTCTCCAAGAGGCAGTGTTGTTTCTGACAGGTGTGCATTGCTGCAGTACTAAATAATTCACAGGTATTTAGCCTTTGTGCATTTCCTGTTATTGTGGGGGTTTTATCCACTTGTTTGTTTCCTAAATGCCGATAGCGGCCAGGGCTGGGCCAGGCCAGAGCCAGCACCGAGGAACTCAATCCTGGGTCTCCCACAAAGACACAACCTTGAATCATCCCTGCTAGCCTCTCAGGGTGCACCAGACACTGATACGGGATGCAAGAAGCATTCCAATAAGCATCTTTTTTTAAAAAAAAAAAGGTTTATTTACTTATTTTTATTGGAAAGTCAGTTATACAGAGAGGAGGAGAGACAGAGAGGAAGATCATCCATCTACTGATTCACTCCCCAAGTGGCTACAGTGGCTGGAGCTAAGCCAATTTGAAGCTAGGAGTTAGGGACTTCTTCGTGGTTTCCCACGCGGGTGCAGGGTCCCAAGGCTCTGGGCTGTCCTTAACTGATTTCCCAGGCCACAAGCAGGGAGCTGGTTGGGAAGCGGGACTGCAGGGATTAGAACTGGTGCCCATATGGGATCCTGGTATGTGCAAGGGGAGGACCTTAGCCACCAGACTACTGCGCTGGGCCCTGTTTTTGGGTTATCTTTTTTTTTTTTTAAATTAGGTTTATTTTATTTTTATTGGAAAGCTAGATATACAGAGAGGAGGAGAGACAGAGAAGAAGATCTTCTATGCAGTAATTCACTCCCCAAGTGGCTGCAATGACTGGAGCTGAGCCGATCCAAAGCCAGGAGCCAGGAGCCTCTTCCCGGCCTCCCACATGGGTGCAGGGCCCAAAGGCCCTGGGCCGTCCTCGACTGCTTTCCAAGGCTACAAGCAGGGGGCTGGATAGGAAGCAAGGCCACCAGGACTAGTACCAACACCCACATAAGATTCCAGCTCACACCAGGCAAGGACTCCAGCCGCTAGGCTACCATGCCAGGCCCTTGGAATTCTTTTGCCAGTCTTTCTTATACCTTCAGTGAGCCATTTGGATGTACTTATTGTCCCACATAGTCAGTGCTGTTCATCTCTGTCCTTGGCACCCTGCCCCTGCAGATGGACTTTTTTTTTTTAAAGATTTATTTATTTTTATTACAAAGTCAGATATACAGAGAGGAGGAGAGACAGAGAGGAAGATCTTCCGTCCGATGATTCACTCCCCAAGTGAGCACAACGGCCGGTTCTCCGCCAATCCGAAGCTGGGAACCAGGAACCTCTTCCAGGTCTCCCACACGGGTGCAGGGTTCCAAAGCTTTGGGCCATCCTCGACTGCTTTCCCAGGCCACAAGCAGGGAGCTGGATGGGAAGTGGAGCTGCTGGGATTAGAACCGGTGCCCATATGGGATCCCGGGGCGTTCAAGGCAAGGACTTTAGCCACTAAGCCACACCGCCGTGGTGGCCTTCTGGGACTGAAACACAGCTGCCCTCCTGGGTGTCCCCTGCCTTTGCCCTGAATTTGAGTCAAGTTTCTGGGTCACGTGTCTTCCTTTCTTGGTTTGCTCCAGGCTGTGTGCAGTTCCTGCCCCAGGTGCTTTGTGAGGTCCTGAAGGTGGCCCGGTGGCTGAGGGCCTTGGGGTGGCTGCCTCTGAGTGGTCTTTCCTGGACGCCCTCTGGTGCAGAGTGACTCAGATTTTGGTCTGCGCCTTGCCAGCTGCTTTCCCTCTGGTTTTCCCTTTACTTCTGTTTTCTGCTTTTGTGTTACCCATTTTTCCTTTGTTGATTTGCGTTCTTAATTTGATAGTTTCTAGAAAGAGAATACAGGAGGTAAATATTGGATGACATGTGTTTGTAAATGTCTTTTCTTTTTTTTTTAAGATTTATTTATTTATTTATTGAAAGGCACAATTAAAGAGAGAGAAAGAGATCCTCCATTCACTGGTTCCCTTTCTAAATGGCCACAACAGCTAGATCTGGGCCAGCCTGAAACCAGGAGCCAGGAGCTTCTTCTGGGGTTCTAGTGTGGGTGCAGGAGCCTGAACACTTTAGCCGTGTTCCACTGCGTTTTCAGGCCATTAGTAGGAAGCTGGAAGGGAAGTGTGGCAACTGGGACTTGAACCATACCAGGGTGGCAACCCTGAAAGTTTTTTTTTCCCCTTTTTAATTTTGCTCTTAATGGAGTGTTTGGCTGGAGATGTAATTGTAAGTTGAAAATAATTTCCATTCTAAGTTTAGAGACCTTGCTCTCCCACCTTCTTGCTTACGGTGTTGCTGTCAGGAGTGGTAAGACACTTTGATCCCAGTTCTTTACATGTGATTGGCTCTTCTCCCTGGAAGCTCACATGAACATTCTAAGATTTCACAGTGGTGTGTTTTGATACGGGTCTCCTCCTCCCAGGGCACGCACGGACTCACTCAGTCGGAAACTGAGAGCATTTCGTTCTGAGAAATTTGATACTGGTGCAACTGACACTGACTTCTTCCTCCTGTCTGCTTGCCTGTTGGAGCTCTGTTTCCCTGGCCTTGTTCTCCCCTTTTCTCATCCCTTCTTCCCCTCCCATCTGTTTGTCTTGTTGCTCCACTTTTGGGGAAGTTTCCTCATTGAGTTTTAATTTCCCGGCAGTGGTGTCTGTTCCACCTGGTGGTCTCTCTCTCTTGTGAGTGTAGTATCCGCTCCTGGCTCTCAGAGACTGTTAGTAAGCATTGTGTTCTAAAAGTTTCCTTCTCCAGGCATGGATCTGGGTTTCTTCCAACTGGTTGTCCTTCCATTCAGTTTGATTTTGTCCTTAATGTGCCATGACAGGCTTTCCCCCTCTGTGTTAGAACCTAGCCATCAGGTAATTGTGATGAACTAAAAAGCTGATTGAAGTTCTGTGCGAGAGGTTGGATCTCAAGACTCCTGCAGGGAACGGCCAAGTACGACTCTGTAGTTGCTTTCCTCTTGGGCTCTGGATTCCCAGGGAAGAGTATTCTGGAAGTTTTGCAGATTAGAGTGTTGGGTGGGCTCTTGGCATAAAGCATTTATAAAAGATGGCTGTTACATTTTCTTGAGTTCGTATAATAAACACACTCTCATCTATACTGTTTCTCTTCAGGGCCCATCTTACTTCCAGACAACACCGCATGGCTTTGGCCGTGGAGGGGCAGGGTCTCTTCCCCGGCGGCACAGGCGGGTGAAGGAGACTGGAGAGCACCTGTTTCCAGGACAGCTCTGACCTCAGTCTCCTTGGCACAGTTTCTTCATCTGAGCCTGTTCTTCGTGAGTCAGAGTGTGAGATCCACAGGGACAGGGCGCAGCACCCTGTGGCGTCATGCCTCGCTGGGCCTGGTCAGACAGAATGCCCTGTCCCCACTTGGCGGATGACCACAGTAAATCTTGGCTGCGCTGCTCACAAAATGTGTGCCTTTTCTGCTTTGCACAGTGCCTGTTGGGGTTGTGCTGTGGGAGGAGGGCTGGGGCCGCTTGAGAAGTATAAATGTCAGGGATGGCTTCCTTCTCTCTTTACCTTCTTGTTTTATTTTTAAAGAGCTTTATTATTATTATTATTATAGTGGAAAAGCAGTTATAGAGAGTAAAGGAGAGGCACAGAATAAAATTTTTCATCTGCTGGTTCATTCCTCAGATGGTCACAATAGCCAGAACTGGGTGGGGCCGAAGCCAGGAGCCTGGAGCTTCTTCCAGGTCTCCCTCATGGGTGCAGGGGTCAAAGGGATTGGGCCATCTTTAACTGTGTACAAAGACACATTAGCAGGGAGCTGGATTAGAAGTGGAGCAGCTAGGGCTTGAACTGGCACCCAAGTATGATGCTGACACCACAGGTTGAAGATTAGCTTGCTTCACCACGGGGCCAGCCCTTCTTCCATTCTGTCTCCCTCTGTAGCTGTGGGCTGTGAGCAAAGCTTGGAGATGCCTCACCAGAGTTTGGCCTATAGAATCTTGGCGTCTTTTCTTGAACATTCCTCATGTGTTTCACACCCAACTCAGAAGGGCAGACCTCCACACCCGTATTGCGTGAGACCAGCCAGGGCCGCAGTTGCCTGCTCAGGACCCCCTGTCTCCATTGCTGGGCCGTCAGCTGAGGCCATGAGGTGCACAGAACTCTGGCTGTCTCTGATGTTTATCACTTAGGTCACTGCTGTGCCTTACCTCTCCACATTCATCCCAAAACTCAAGTCACCCAGGTTTTAGGTAGCAGATTAGGAAAGAAGCTGCTGATCAGCTAACCATTAAAACCATTAACAATTAACACCATTAACGAGGCTTTCCCAATTGGTGAGAAGAAAAGGCTGGCCCAGTAGAGGGAAGAGGAGTGGTGACAGAAGGTCCCTAAGGAATAATGGTTGGAAAAGGGTTTCCACCAGCCTGGAGGGACAGACACTGGACAGTGCCTGGCCTTCTGAGAGACTGCCGTTTCGTCCCCTAAGTGGTCTTTGTACAGACAGGGACCACTCATGTGACCCCTCCACTCCTCTGCCAATAGCTTTCCCCTTTTAAACAGGCTAGGCCAAGTCCACTCCGCCAGGGCTGTGCCAGCCATGGGTGATGCTCTCCTAGTCGTCAGAACCTGACCTGGGAGGTTGTCGGTCTTAGCAGGGCCTTTAGGATCCAGCCGACCTTGAGTCAGCCTATCCAGTCTGGTATCGCTGTCCCCACTCCCTGTATTCTGTTGTGGACTCTGTGTGTGTGTGCGCATGCACATGTGTGCACCTTGGGCTGTGAGGAGGAAGCAGCAGCAGCAGGCAGGTTGGACAAAGGACAGAGCCTTTAGACACAGCCAAGGTCCTAAAGAAACATCTTAATAAACTGTCTACTATAGTGACTGCTAGGAGTGCAAACTCCTGTGTTGGTCCCAGAACTCCCAGAGAGAGCACTAGAGAAAGGCAAAGGAGTTGAGGGGTTTTGTCACGTGCTGGCTGGGTGACACTGGGTAAGGCTCAGCCTCTCTGAGCCTCATTTTCCTTTTGTGTTAGATAGCAATGAAAACACCTGCCCATGCTAGACAAGAAAGGGATTCATGTTTGATGTGCTGCTTGCCAGTCAGCTTTGGGCAGGAGTCTGAACTTGATGAGCCTTGATTTCCTCTTCCTTAAATTAAGGGTTGTTGACAACAGTCTACGGAGGATTGTCATGTGGATTAGAGGAACCAAGTGACAAAAAAGTGTCTAATTCCGTGTCCTGCAACGATTTTCCGTGTCTGCAACGGTTCATCTTCAGGGGGTGTCCGCAGTGGCTGCACAGGCTGCTTGGGGGGCCCAGTAGGGGGTCTGTGTCTGACCGTGCTTTGAAAGAAATCCCCTTCTCTCTCCTGACCTGTGTCTTTGCAAATGGGAATGTCAGGAACAGGCTGGAGTGTGAGTCTGGGAATGGTCAGGAACAGGGTCCCTGAGTTGGGCCTGCTGCCTGGACACAGGGATAACAAGAGGTGAAGGACAGAGTCAAGGCCACAGGCACCCCTGCTGCTGGAAGGGCTGAACGTGTGGTGGGCTGAATGAGGGCACGCACGTTGGGGCATGGGTATACAGCTGGCAGTGAGGGCCGGCTGTCCCCCGTCTCCCCTCCCAGCCTGGCACCTCTTTGTGTGCTTTAGAGTACAGTTCGTATTATCCAGGGGACCGGGCCAGGTGTTCTCTCAGATGAGTTTTTTTTGAAAGCCTTTTGTCACTGGACAGTCCTAAGCTGTCACATGGCTCCCACTATGTGGAGAGACACCTGAGGTGACATGGCCACTGAGGCCCCACCCATTAAACAGCCCCTTCTTGCCCCACCCTGCATCCTGACCCTCTCACCCTCTCTCTCCCTGGACTGATGCGGGTGTCCTGGAGGCTGTGCTGGGGAGGACAGGGGACAGGGAGACTCAGAGCCAGGCATGGCTGGGATGAGATCATCCCACAGGATGGTGAGGCCACCTGTGTTGGCCCTGGGCATACACGCAGTGATGTAACCAGGGGGCCTTAGTTCACAGTGGAAACATAGGGCTCGCTTTACAGCCAGGCCTGCCGAGCTGGCCGCTGGCTGAGCCAGTTGCAGCCTAGCCTCCCTTGCTCCCGGCCTGTACACGGATCCTCTGTGCCCTTTGCTCACACTGCTGATGCAGTCCTTTGTCGGGCACACCCCTTGTTTCCTTACTGGTCTAGAAGGTTTGTATAAAATAACTTGTGTACCGGCTCTGTGTTAGGAGGTGCAGATAACAGAGCCAGAGATGATGTGACTGCCCACAGGGCATTCAGGAGAAGGGCAGGGAACAGCTCAGGGCAGCATCAGTGTGGGGAACAGGAAGTACAGTTGAAGTTAGACCTCAGGGAAGGGAAGGAGAGAAGTCCTGAGTCTTTTTGCCTTCTGCCTGCCACTCTTCAGGTCTCGCTGCAGTGCCGCTCACCTCAGAAGCGTTTACTGCAGCCAGAGGCACCTGCTCCCTTCCCTGCATCGCAGCATGCTGCTCCCTTTATTCATCTATAAATAAGTGTTGATTCCACAGCAGGCACTATTCTAGGAACTGGGGACACAGATAGTCCCTGCTGTCAGAGTTGATCCTTTCTCAGGGATGGGAGGAGAGGAGGACGTTTACAGACTGCAGAGCGTATAGTGTGTCAGGGAGCAGGGTGTACTCCACTGTGAGAGGGGGTAGGGGAGGCGGGAGTCCTGGTGGAGCTGAAACGTCTCAGTGTCTCAGTGTCGTCAGCCGGACCACGTGATGAGGGAGCAGGCAGCAGTGGCAGAGTGCTGCTTCTCCAGGCCCAATAGCAGGGGAGCTGGATTAAATGAGCAGTTAGAACTCGTATCCATGCTCAAAAGGGATGCTTGCGTGAGTTACACCACTGTACCACAATGCTGGCCCAAAAAGAGGTTCTTAACAGTGCAGCAGGCCTGGGTTCTGGCAGGAATGAGGGGATGAAGACAGGTTGGGTGGTAGAAGGAAGAGTGGTAATCATGGTGGGAGACTAGATTTAGGAGACCGGGTCCAGTGAAGGGCACCATCCACGGAGGCAAGGAGAATGAGGTCCATGTGTTTGCGGTTGTGCCGCTCCCTTCTTTCCACCACATGGCACGTTTCCTGAGAGCGGAAGTCTCTGTCCCACATGTTTATATGTATTTGAGTGAATACAAGTTAAGAGACTTCGATTTCTAACAAGTAATGTGATGAATCAGTTTGTGTGGGAGGGCAGTTATGCCCAGGAAGGCATGGAGCTGGTATTTGGAAGCATGTTGGGACCCTTTATACTTCTCATCTCTTCTAATGTGAGCCTCGACTTGTCTGTGTTTCCCGCCACAAGACCTTGTCTGCCTCTCGGTCCATGTGGCAGAATGCAGCTGTCTGCCCCTCCAGGGTAATTTTCAGGCACAGTGGTAGACTGTCTCTAGATCTGATTCTCACATCCAGAGTCAAAGAGTTGGAGTAGATGGACTGGTTTTTAGGCCCATTGTTGGACCATCAGAAGTTCTTACTGGTGGGTGGTCTGGAAGTCCCCAGAGAAGAGGGGCAGGGCAGAGGCTTCAGGTAGTCTTCTTACAGTGGCACGCTGGGTAGGTGAGTGTGGATGAGTAGATGGGTGGATGATGGGTGAGTGAATGAGCAGGTGGACAGATTCATAGCTTGATCATCAGTTTAGGGACCTGGAATGAGAGAAGGGCTGTTGGTGTTGATGGGGCTGGTGACGTGCTGGGAAGAGGCCTCTGAGAACAGAGAACAGAGCCCCTGCTATAGGATGTCCAGTGGGCCACTATAGGCAGGAAACTTCTTACTGCCAGCAAGAGTCCTGGAAGCTCTTTGCTTCTCTTCCAGGTAGGCAGCCAGGAAGTTTTGCCTCTACATTTCAAGTCCACCTACTGAGAGGGCCACGTTCTCCACTTTGGTAGAGACTAGCTTCTGAAAGGGAGCTGAGTGCCCCATTGGCTATGTGCCTACAGCAGGCCTAGGTAGATGGTCCTGTCCAGTCCTGTTGGACAGTCTGGGGAAACTGTAGCTTCCTGTTACCCCCCTCCCACTCTTGTAGAACACACTTTCTAACAGCCCGATCTTTCACTTTCTTCTCAGGATACCCAGAGCCCGAGGTGACCTGGTACAAAGATGACACAGAGCTGGACCGCTACTGTGGCTTGCCAAAATACGAGATCACTCACCAGGGCAACTGCCACACACTACAGCTCTACAGGTGAGAGATGGGGGCCTGCCCGGCCCTCTCTGTCCACAGCCTGCCTCTGGCAATGGCATTGACTGGGTGCAGAGGCCCGGCAGCATCTGAAGGTGGGAGGTGGGGTCCTGTGGCTTAGTTAAACCCCTGGGACCCATGTCTGGGATCTCCTCAGGCCAGGGTGGGAACAGTCAGAGCTGAACACAGTTAGAGGAGGTCCTGATCCCCTCTGTGAGGTCAGCCACCATAAAAAGTAAGTGTGTCATCATTGCCTCAGGAGGGCTGTGTCAGTCACCTGCTTCCTAAGGGAGCTTTCTTGGGCCCCAAGGCTAATCCCTCCTGGAACATCCTGACCTTGGTCAGGTGCCAACTTCCTGTCGGCCTCAGTTTCCTGGACTGTGACAAGAGGAAATTGTGGGCATGTCTGAAGTGGGCGTGGCACTCAGGTGACTTGCCATGTGGGGAAAGCATGCTCAACTCTGTAAGACTCCGGCTATGGGGAATGGGGGCGCTTGCCTCCCAGGAGGGCACAGGTGGCACCTCACGCTCCTACCTCTAGGTGTCGAGAAGAAGATGCTGCCATCTACCAGGCCTCTGCCCGCAACACCAAGGGCATTGTGTCCTGCTCGGGGGTCCTGGAAGTAGGCACCATGACTGAGTACAAGATCCACCAGCGTTGGTTTGCCAAGCTGAAGCGCAAGGCTGCGGCCAAGATGCGGGAGATCGAGCAGAGCTGGAAGCACGGGAAGGAGGCTGGAGGGGACGCTGATGTCCTGCGCAAGCTCAGCCCTGACCGCTTCCAGCGCAAGCGGCGGCTGAGCGGAGGCGAGGCACCTGGCCCCTCCGCCCCGACCGGAGAGGCCAATGAGGAGCCCCGGCCTTGGCAGGAGGGAGATGCCGAGTCTGCTCAGCACCCAGGCTTGGGCCTGATCACCAGTCTTCCTCCTGAAGAGTTGCCCACCAACGGGGAGACCACCCCCGAGAATGGGGAGGACGCTGAGCACGGCCTGCTAACGTACATCTGTGAGGCCATGGAGCTGGGGCCCCACAGGGCCCCCAGGAAGGAGTCCCGGGCCAAAAAGAAAAAGAAAGAGGAGGAGTCCAAGCAAGGTCAGCGGAGGCCAGAGTCAGAGCAGGCAACCCGAGGCCAGCGCTCTTCAGAAAACTGTGTCCCCAGTCCTGACCTGCCTGACTCCCCAGCAATGCAGGAGCCCAGGGACACAGAGCAGGTCCGCAGCCAACCCAGAAGCAGAGCCCCTCAGGGCCCTGGGTCCTCCAGGACTGATAACACCAGAAAGGCAGCCTCCTCTTTGGACTCTAAAGATAAGGCTCAAAATACCCCAGCCCCAGGCCCCTGCCCAAGCCCAGCCCAGGACGTGTACTTCTCCCTGAAGGACATGTACTTGGAGAGCACCTGGGCAGCCAAGCCTCAAGGAGAGGAGGGGCCCCAGGCCCCAAGTGTCAGGGCACCCAGAGAGACTCTTTCGAGGAAGGCCAGAGATGAGAGGGTGCCTGCTGCTCCTGGCCAGCCTGTGCCCTCCTTGGCCCCCCAGCCGACGAAACCTTTGAACAGGAAAAGATTTGCTCCTCCAAAGCCCAAAGCAGAGCCCCCCATTGACAGCAAACCCAGTTCTCCCCTGAGTCAGGCTCCAGAGCATGCGGCCCAGAGCTCAGGGAAGGCCCCACCTCCGGGCTCTGCCCAGGTGCCTACGCCCCCCGCCCGGCGGAGACACGGCACCCGCGACAGCCCCTCACAGGGGCGAGCAGTCCACAAGACTTCCGGAGAGGTGAGTGAGGGTGTTGGGTCCCTGGGGAGCTGACCTCATGGAAACTCTTGCCACAACTGCCCGGCAGCCAGCGAGCAGTGACTATTTATAGAAGGGGCGTGGAGGGCATGCAGTGTTGGCCAGAGCAGGGGACCACAGACGTGGCCCTTGGCCAGCTGCCCTCCAGATGCCAGGTGTGTGGGCAGCATGGCCTGCCTCTTTGTTCTGAAAATGTAGGGGTGTGTGGCCGAGAGGCCAGTGCCCTAGAGGGAGGTGGAGGAAGTGCCAGCTTGTGTTGCTGTGTTGGGGCCGCAGTATTGACGGGGACCCTGGGGAGTGTGCTTCAGTTTGAGAGGCTCTTGTTGGGCACTTGTCTGGGAGCCAGCAGTGTGGCGTAGCAGGTGAAGCTGACTGGGACCTTGGCATCCCATGTGGGCACAGTTGCTCCATTTCTGATCTGGCTCCTTGCTGATGGCCTGGGAAAAGCAGCAGAGGATGGGCCAAGTACCTGGACCCTCGCCATCCGTGTGGGAGATACAGAAGAGGCTCCTGGTTCTTGGATTAGTCCAGGTTCAGCCTTTTCTGTTACAACTGCCTGGAGAGTGAACTGGTGGTTGGAGGATATCTGTCTTTATCTCTGTCGGTCTCTCCTCCTCTCTGTAACTCTTACTTTTAAATAAATCAGTACATCTTTCTAAAAAAGATTTTTGAAAAATACTGAGTGTTCAGAAAGTTCCAGTTGACTCTGGATTGAGCTGGATTTGGATCTACATGCAAATCTGACTTTAACGTGATATGATCTTGATCAAGTTGTAAAATTGGAATAATAGCCATCATAATGTCTGTCGTCCAGGCTGTTGTAAGACAGGCTAGCACAGACTTGATTATGGCAGGAGAGGCGCATGTTCCTATGGGACAGGGGGCCTCGAGAGGTGATGATGTTGTGTGTGGAGACAGGAATCCGATGGTGTCTGCTTACCCGGGAAAGAGGCAGGTTGGGGACAGAATTGTGAAGCAGGAGTATGTGAATCAACAAGAGGAAACAGTATGTCTTGCATCTAGGGTTGGTATTCCAGGGCTGAAGGAGGGCAGTGTCTCATTGCGGTTTTGTTATGTTTATTTTCAGTTTCTATTTGAAAGGAGTAGGAACATAGAGACAGATGGAGATCTCCTATCTGAGGTTGCAGTTCCTAAATGCTCACAGGAGCCAGGGGGGATCCAGGACTGAAGCCGGGTGCCCGGATCTCCTCTGCCTCTCCCGTGTGGGTGGCAGGGACCCAACCACTTAAGCCATCTCTTGCCTCCCATGGTGTGCATTAGCAGGAAGGTGGAATCCAGACCAGAGCGGGACTCAAACTAGACACCACAGTACGGGATACTGCTTCACCTAATGCCCATGCCCTGTAGTCAGTGGCACTTCTGATGAGTATTGCTGAGGAGTGGCAGAAGGAAAAAGCACTTCGAAGGTGGGATGTGGTAGATCAGATAGGCCATATTTGTACTAAGAAATGATCAGTTGTACATCTGCAATTCCAACTTAACTGATGTCCCATGTTTCTTTTTTTATGCAATCTGACAACTCAGAGTAGAGACAGCTTCTGGTTTGCTCAAGAACTGGGTTTTTCTTGGGGTGGAGGGTGGGAGTCTGGTCCTGGGCATAGGGGCTCCATGGGGAGCAAGAGGCTTGGGAAGTCCGGGCAGACAACAGGTGTTTCCTTGGAGCAGGGAGGGAAGCACAGGACAGACACTGGGAAGGAGCTTGCAGGGGATGGGGTGGTTACAGGGAGGGGTGCCCCCCTGGAGACTGCCCAGCAGCAAACCCCAAGGCCCAAGGGCTCAAAACTGCCCTTGCTGCTGCCACTTGGTCTTGGTGTTGGTCTCAGTCTAGGGTGACTTGGGTCATGGGTGTAGAGCATTCACAGTGGCCCAGGGGAAACTCAGTAGGGCTGCCCTGAGTGCCTGGCAGCACATGGGTTGGGCAGCAGGGCCTCTCCCAGGAGACAGCTCTCGGAGGCCTCTAGGGAGCTCATTTAGGAAGTGACTGGGCTGGCAGCCCAGTCTGCTGGGAATGTGGCTTCTGCACAGGCTGCCCGCCTGGGTAGGAACTCCACACCAGGACCGCTGCTGGTGCTTGCCCCTGGCAGGGCCAGGGAGTAAGTGCCAGCCCCGCCCTGCAGCCTCCCAGCAAGCTGCTCACTTCCAAGGCACCTGTGAGGACTTGCATGGCTTCTACTTTAAAAACTAAGAAACATCCATCCACATAAAACGTGTAGGTAACATCTGTGTATATTTTGACTTTTTTTTTCTTTTGCAGTAGATTAATTTGACTGCCTTTTGTGTTCTTATTCTACCAAGACTTAAAAAAAAAACAACAACTTTTTTTTATTATGAAGGAAGCATAGTGGTCATGTAAGATGCCATAATATAAATATTTTAACCAAGTCTTCCACAGAGTTTATGCTTTCCTATTATAAAGTTAAATTTTCTATATTTTTAAATAAGTTTTGTTGTTTGATACTTTCAGTTGACTTAAGTTGATTTGGAATTTGAGTACAGCATTAGTTTTTAGCTTGACTTTTTCTTTCCAAGATTTATGTACTTTTACTGGAAAGTCGGATATACAGAGAGGAGAAGAGACAGAGAGAAAGATCTTCCATCTGCATCCCCAAGTGGGTGCAGTAGCTGGAGCTGAGCCGATCCGAAGCCAGGAACCTGGAGTTTCTTCTGGATCTCCCACACAGGTGCATGGTCCCAAGGCTTTGTGCTGTCTTCAACTGCTTTCCCAGGCCACAAGCAGGGAGCTAGATGGGAAGTGGAGCAGTCGGGAAATGAACCAGCACTCATATGGAGTCCCAGCATGTGCAAGGGGAGGACTTTAGCCACTAGGCTACCATGTCAGTAGTCTATTATTAGTTTTTAAATGCTTATGTTTGGGTCTGGCACCTTGCCTCAATATGCTAATCCACCACCTGCAGGCACTAGCATCCCATCTGAGTTCTGGTTCTAGTCCCAGCTGTTCCACTTGCCATCCCGCTCCTTACTAATGGCCTGGGAAAGCAATGGATGGTCCAGGTCCTTGGGCCCCTTCACCCATATGGAAGACCTGGATGAGACCCCTGGCTCCTGGCTTCGGATTGACTCAGCTCTGTTCATTGCAGCCATTCAGGGAGTGAGCCAGCAGATGGATGATCTTTTTCTCCTTCTTCTGTATAAATCTGCCTTTCAATTAAATTTTTTGAAAAAAGCTGTTAGAAAATAAGTTTGTGGGCCCGGCGCGGTGGCGCAAGTGGTTAAAGGTCCTCGCCTTGCACGCCCGGGATCCCATATGGGCGCCGGTTCTAATCCCGGCAGCCCTGCTTCCCTTCCAGCTCCCTGCCTGTGGCCTGGGAAAGCAGTCGAGGATGGCCCAAAGCTTTGGGAACCTGCACCTGCGTGGGAGACCCGGAAGAGGCTCCTGGCTTCGGATCGGCATAGTATCGGCCCGTTGCGCTCACTTGGGGAGTGAATCATCGGATGGAAGATCTTCCTCTCTGTCTCTCCTCTCTGTATATCCGCCTTTCCAATGGAAAAATAATAAAAATAAATCTTTAAAAACAAAAAAAGAAAAAAAGAAAAGAAGTTTGTTATTTTATTTGTATTGCTTGAAAGGTGGAAAGTGAAAGCTCTTTTATCTGCTGGCTCACTCCCCAAATGCCCACAGTAGCCAAGGCTGTGCTGGGCTAAAGGCAGGAGCCCAGAACTCCCTATGGACGGCAGAAACCCCAGTACTTGAGCTGCACTTGCTGTCCCAGGTCTGCATGAGTAAGGAGCTGGATTGGAACTAGAGTAACCAGACTCTGATAGGAATGCAGCCATCACAGGCAGAAGCTTCACCTGCAGGCCACAACATCCCCCTGCTTCTTTTTTTTTTATGATTTAATTATTTTTATTGGAAAGGCAAATTTATAGAGAAAACGAGAGATCTTCTATATGTTAATTCACACTCCTGAAGTGGACACAGTAGCTGGAGCCCAGCTGATCTGAAACCAGGAGATTCTTCTGGGTCTCCTACACAAGTGCAGGGTTCCAAAACTTTGGGCCATCCTCTACTTTCCCAGGCCACAAGCAAGGAGTGGATGGGAAGTGGAGCAGCCAGGACACAAACTGGTGCCCATATGGAATATTGGTGCTTTGAGATAGAGGATTAACCAGCTGAGCCAATGTGCTGGTCCCAAGGTAAAATTTCTATACCATAAAAATCTCCTAGTTTAAGTGCACATGTGGTTCAGAATACAGAATTGTGCAACAGCCTAGCTTTAGAACATTTCCATCTCTTTTTGCAGTCAGTCTGTGTTCTCAGCCCCAGGCCCAGGCAGCCATTCATCTGCTTTCAGTGTCTGTGGTGCTGTGATTTAGATCAGGATCGCCTGAAGTTTGAGAATTAGTTTTGAAAAACTAGTATCTTTGTGTTTTGCTTTCTCATTTGGGGGCGTGGTATTCCTTTCCATTACTTTAATTCCTTTCCTTCATCTGCTTTTTTGTTCTGTCCTTTTCTCCTTGTTGGCCAGTCAGGCTCTTGGTGGGAACACTGCTCCTGGGAGTGGATACCTGTCTTCCCTCTCTCTGCCTGGCCTGCTTTCCTTTCCCAGGAGCAAGATGTATTTGTGGAAGCTCGAGTGAGGCTTCCTTCTTGGGTGTAGATGAGGAAGGGATGACAGAACAAGGATTTCTTGGGTTTTTAGAAAATCCCTTGGTCCTCCTCTCTGGCCCAGCCAAGCTGTCCAGCAGCGCTCTCCCTGACAGCAGCAATCTTGGTGACTAAATGTGCCTATCTCTCTGCCAGTCAGGTCCATAAAGAAGACGTTGACAATACAGAATTAGGGATTTCAGCAGAGAACTGGAAGCTATGAAAGTAGCAAAGACTTAAAAATGAACCATCTAGATTTCAGGACTAAAAACTGTAGTTTCAGCACTGAAAACTACAACAAGTAGTATTAAGTTAGTTGTGATTATTATGGCCATTCCAATTCTTCTCCCTCTACTTCTATTTCCCATTGAATGCAGCAAAAATATAACAGAATGCATGGTGCATTTGATGGCTTTGAAGAGCAAACCATGGCAGACAGTTTGGGAAAGAAGACTAAGAATTTACGCCCTCCCCCCCCCCCCCCCCCCGCCAACAAGAGTGTTTACTTTTCTTTTAAACAAAACATCAACAATGAGAGCTAACAGAACAAAACAAACAAAAAACCTTCTGGTGTTTCCTGGCCTGTTGTTAGTGCAATCTGAACCCCAGAGGTGCACATCCACATTGACATAGCACTCGAAAGGAAGAACCCTGGGTCAGGCTGAAGAATGGGAAAGGGGTCCCTGGTGGGGACAGTGGTCAGAGCAGACGCACGGGTCCCTGGTGGGGACAGTGGTCAGAACAGACGCATAGGGGTCCCTGTGGGCACAGTGGTCAGAACAGACGTATAGGGGTCCCTGTGGGCACAGTGGTCAGAGAAGTCACACAGGGGTTCCTGTGGGGACTCTATTCAGAGCAGAGCTGCAAGTGCCTGAAACCCAGAGAGAGAAGGATCTTCCCTTCCACTGCTAGGAGCTGGACCTAACACAGATGGGATAATCCTGCTGCTTTCTTCCCTTCTGGATCTCCTCCTAGGTCCTGGGTACAGTTCATGTCTGGAAGCACATGGCAGGGAGGAGAGGTGAGGCCCCCACTATCTGGCTAAAGGAGTGATGCAGGAAATCCTTCGGGTGGGCGGGGAGGGCTGAGGCTGTCGTGGGAGATTATGGAGTGGGAGAGGCTTGGGAAGATGTCCTCGGAAAGTCAGATGTGACCTCTGGATGGTCACACTCTTTATAGCTTTTCTGGGTTTGTTCCCATACTGTTCCTGTAGGTTTAATTCTAAACAGAGTATCCAAAGGTTTGAAAATGGAGCTAACAAACCACATTCCAAGTCTTGACTGGCCACTGGGTAGCACATTCAGAGAACAGATGCAAATAGCACTGGAAAGGCTTTGTAAATGGAATTGATCCTGAAATAACCCCCATGGGGGGTCTGAACACATCCAGGTAGATGACCTGCTGAGACAAAATGTCATCATTCTCCACAAGACTTTAACAAGAACCATAGTCTCATAATGTCAAGAATGTCTAGGATAGTTTATTTTTTAATGGCACAGAGAAAGTCAGGAAAATCTCAACTTGCAAGGGAAAACAGAATTTTAATGCAAGATGACAATGTTGGAATTATCTGACTTAAAACAGCTACTATAAAATTTAACAAGTAAGGGTGAACATTGAAAATAGATAAAAAGCCAGGAAATCTCAGTAAAGATGAAGACTTCAAAGACAACCACACGTGAAGCTTGGAAATGAAAAATGCAGTAACTGAAATGAAAACTCAACTGGGCACAACAGCTGGATGACAGCTGTAAAAAAACATTCAGTGAACTTCAAGTTAGATCATGTATTTTAAAACAATCTTACTAGATTCTTACACATTTCAATTATTATATTTAATTTGCCCTTTTATTCTTAAGTAATTCAGTGTTTTTCCCTAGTAATTTTCTTTGTTCTAAAGCCTTCTGCGTCTGATAGTAATAAGGCCACTCCAGCCTTCACTGATTAATGTTTGCACATTATATATTTTTCTACTATTTTACCTTTAACCTATATCTGGACATAATATATTTGTCTTGTTTTTGTGTCATCAGGGCATGCCTGGTCTACCACTTCAACATGTGTTTGTGTTGGGTCTTGGCTCCACAGCTGCGCGTTAATATGTGTCAATGTGTCATATGTGGTAGCATGTGTTACTGTGTAAAGTGTGTCATATGTACTAATGTATAACAGTATACAATGTATGTCATATTTAATGTACTATGTTGTGGTCTAGCATATGATAATGCATGTTAATGTGTGATGTATGTAATTTGTGTCATGTAAGCTGAATGTATCTGGTGGGTGCCATCTATTGTTTTGCTGTAGTTTCCTAAGTCGTCTTTCAGGTGACTGGTGTTGGTTCGCTGCTGCTGCGTCCATCAGGGCCCATGGGGACAGTGGTCTTGAAGTCCCTGTTTGTTCACCAGCTGTTTTGTCAGTGCAGTGATGTTTGGAAGGTCCCTCGCTGTGGGTTGTTGGTGTTTGATTGTCTCCTTCCTGTCCCTGCTGGGTACTTCTCCTGTATCTTCTGCTTCCCCTCATGTCCCAGGATCCTGCCAGGTGTAGGCTCTGCCGATCTGTCACCTTAAGGAGAGGCCTTTCCCCACATGTCAGTATTTTTGCTGGCATATCCGGGCTCACCCGATCTGCATCCTCATCCTTTTGTTGTTTGTTTTCCATAATGAATGGTTCCCCCTGCCTCTTCCCTGACAGTGAGGTTCACTTGGTTTTGATGACAGTCAGTAGGAGGAGGCAGGTGGTGTCCTGAGCCACCCTGATTACACAGGCAACATGCCCATGGCCTTGAAGTAGAGATATGCCCGGCTAGTCACACTGTGCCACCTGCTGTGCAATCACGGATAGATCACATCCCTTCTTTGACCACTGTTGTCCTTGCCTCTTAGAGGTATGGTACAGTGTTGGGAGCTGTGAGGGAAGATCGTCATTGCTGGGGGGCCCAGCCTGGACCTGGCCTGTAGAAGCTCTTCACAAGGGCTCAAGTAGAACATTTCATTAGCTTTTTGGCCGAGGCACCATTGTGGTTTCTGGACCCACTGCATATGTGAGCCATCATGTTCCTGGTGAGTGCTGTCCCTGAGGCGGCTCACGAGATGCCTTGTGGCACTTCCCCCTCGTCACCCACAGTTCTCTCCAAGGCAATGGGGACCACAGGAAAAGGGCTGAGTGGCTGCTGTGGGAGGCCTGGGGAGAGGAGCTGACGGCTGAGTACTGGGAGGACCCTGGGTTCTTCAGGCTGGGGCTTGGTGCTCCCTAGTCCACACTCTGAGGTCAGGACTTGGGACCTCGTCATGTGCTTTGTTTCCTAGTTCCCTTCAGGCTTCAGAGACCAGGTGGCAGGATCCCTGGGAGAATGGTCTGGGTGCTACATGGGGAGACCCTGGCATGCATGTCATTCAGCTCTGGCTTTTGTCCCTGTTTCTGCAGGTCCAGGAGTCTCAGGCGACCACGACTCCAACACCATTGGCCAGCAGTGGCTCTGGCGCTGCCCCTGTGGGTGGTAGTGGCACATCCAGAAATCAATGTGTCATTGAGCCCATGGACACGGACACCCGGGTGGATGTGGTGTCATCCGCTGAACAGAGGACCAGAGGCAAGCAAGAGAGGCAGTCAGATGGAGAGATGCAGGCAGATGGGAGGGCCCCGGCAGACGCGACCCTAAAAGCCCAGAAGACTCAGGCAAGTGAGAAGACAGAGGTGGACGTGGTAACTCAGGAAAGTGAGAGGCTGCCGGCAGTCGAGAGTGCCCAGAGGGACGTGCTGATGCAGGCGGAGAGGACACAGGTAGACGAGAAGGCTCCAAAAGGGACAAGGATGCAGGAGGCAAAGGCAGCCCAGTCAGAGGGGAGCACGCCGACAGCCACAAGTGGTCAGCAGGAGCGGCTGGCCTGGAGCAACACTAGCCCCGAATCCAGGGCCCCACAGCTCCCTTTGTCACAGGCTCCGAGGCTGCCTCAGGGCCCCAATGGCTTTGCGCAGACACCAGCAGAGGCTCTTGTCCCAGAGAAAGCTGGCTTTGTGCTCATATCTGAGGAGATTACAGGGGCCACGCCACCCAGGGCCCTTGAAGGGACTGTCTTGGGTCGCCTGTCAGGACCCCTTCATGTGCCAGCCCAGCCACTGCCACAGGAGAGCTCTGAGCAGGAGGGAGGAGAACAAAGCCAAGGGCAAGAATGGCCAGGCCCTGTCAAGGCCCCACAGGAGGACAGGCTGTCCCTGTCCCCCGAGGTGCAGTCAGGGGACAAGCTGAGTACAGACGTGGGAGGATATCCTACAACTGACACAAGCCAGGAGGTGCCCAGAGCAGCTTCTCTTCCTGGGCCAGGCCTGGCTGGTAGGCCACAGGAGGGGCTGCCCCACAGCCTGGCTTCCACACACAGCTGTCCTGCTACCATCTTGCCTGCCATGGATCAGGCCCTGCCAAGTTCTGCCCCCACACTGCACCTGGGCCCAGGACCCCCTCCACAGAATCCCTCACCAGAAACCATGGCCCCCAGCAGTGAGGGGGCCTGTGCCCAGACAGCCCCAAGGGAAGGGGGCACCTCAGGGCCCCGCAGCTGTGACCCTGGCCTTATCGACTCCCTGAAGAACTACTTGCTGCTACTGCTGAAGCTGTCCAGCACGGAGACAAGTGGGGTGGGGGCTGAGGCTCGGGAGGGCAGTACAGCTGGGGGTCTGGCCCCCCCGTCCACTCTGGCCCCCAGTGTGGAAGTGGCCGGGCTGAGTCCACGGACATCAAGGCGCATTCTAGACCGTGTGGAGAACAACCACCTGCTGCAGAGTGCACAGAGCCTGCTCCTGAGCCCCTGCACCTCCCGCCGCCTCACTGGCCTCCTAGACCGTGAGGTGCAGGCCGGTCAGCGAGCCCTGGCTGCAGCTCAGGGCTCCCGCGCCCCAGGCCCCAGCCCCTTCACCGTCCCTTCCATCGTGGTAGGTGAGGAGGGCACTGGGCAGGCCTCAGCAGGAGCCCATGAGGGGGAGGAGAAGGGGTCCCTTGAGGGACAAGGAGGGCTCCTGGGGCAGGCAGGGAAGCCAGCAGCCCCTGAGCAGGGACTGCTCCCAGCAGGGGGCAGAACCCAGGAGGCCTTCCCAGAGGACAAGGTCCCAGGGGAGGCTGTGGCAGAGCTGCCTGCAGCCACCCCTGAGGAGCTGGCTCTGGGTGCCCGGAGGAAGCGGTTTCTCCCCAAGGTCAGGGCGTCAGGAGATGGGGAAGCAGCGAGGCCTGAGGGGAGAGAGAGCCCTTCAGTGTCTCCACGGGGATCCCGGAAGAGCCTGGCACCTGGGTCCCCAGGGACTCCAGGCCGGGAGAGGCGCTCCCCCAACCAGGGCAGAAGGGCAAGCATGCTGGAGGTGCCCCGGGCGGAGGAGGAGCTGGCCCTGGCCAACCCCAAGGCCAGTGGGCTGGACGCAGAGCCGAGCCCAGAGGAAGGCAAGCAGGAAGTCCTGACCAAGCCCAGGAAAGCCGGAGACCAGCTTAAAGGTGAGCCTTGGGGAGGGCTGGGCACTGCTTCAGGGGTGGGGGGTGCCAAGAAGCCTTGGCGGGCACCTGCTACTGTCAACAGCTAGGTAAAGATGGTCTTACTGCACTATCTGTCTCTGGGATTGGGATCAGAAAGGCCTAGGCCTAGGGCTTACTGCAAAAGTGGGGTAGTACTCCATTACCGCTATGAGATGGAGAGGGTTCCATGGGAGGAAGATCAGCAGCTTGGGACAAAGCCTGACTTCAGTGATATCCCAGCCATGGCCACATGCCTGTTAGCCTCTTCCCATGCTCCTAGGGCGTGTGGCCCACGATGCCCATCATCTGCTCTATCAGGCACAGGTAGTGCCTGGGTCTGTGCCCTCAGACAAGTGTGCGACACTAAGGAACCAGAACTGGGCCTGGGCCACCCAGGGAAGCAGGATGATGGCAAGGGGGACCTGAGGAAAGGGGCAGGAGGCTCTGGCCCAGGCTCCAGCTCCTGCTCTCAGCCCCTCAGGTGATACGGAAGATTCGGGTGGAGCAGTTTCCTGATGCCTCCGGCAGCCTGAAGCTCTGGTGTCAGTTCTTTAACATCCTCAGTGATTCAGTCTTGACATGGGCCAAGGACCAGCGCCCTGTGGGCGAGGTGGGCAGGAGGTAAGCTGAGTGGGAACAGCATCCACTTGGGCTGGCTCCTGAAGGATGGTCACTGGGGGGTGATTGCTGCCACCTCATTTTATCCTCACAGTAGCCCTGGGAGAGAGATTCTGTTATTCCCATGGTAGAGATGAGAGAATGGAGGCCCAGAGAGCTTGAGTCCCTTTCCTAAGGTTCGTGCCCATGTGTGTGAGGGCTGAAATCCAGATGTGCATTGATCCAGGATGGCCCTCGAACACAGAGCTGAACTCCTGCACCTCCCAGAGCTCCCTGGAGCCTGGGTGCAGAGCAGCCTCTGAAGAGGGCTGAGGGGCTCCCAGGCTGCAAGTCTGTCCCTGGGCTCTGCTCAGGCTGTCACAGAGGCTCCCCACCCTGTGCAGTGCAGGGGACGAGGGCCCGGCGGCTTTGGCCATCGTGCAAGCATCACCCGTGGACTGTGGCGTGTACCGATGCACCATCCACAACGAGCATGGCGTAGCCTCCACGGACTTCTGCCTCAGCCCTGAGGGTGAGTGCCCAGCGGCCTGCCTGGTCCCCAGGGGTGGGTGAGAGGGCACTCTCCCTGAGCAGGCCAGCTGGAAGCAGCTTCCTTCTCTTCTGTCTCTCTCACAGTGCTGTCTGGATTCATCTCTAGAGAAGAAGGTGAAGGTACGGGGCCTTCTGGGGAGAAGGGTGGCTTTTCCTGCTTTCACCCCAGCCCCTGCCCTGCCAAGGCCCTTGGGCGACCTGAGTCCCACAGGAGCAGCTGGCTCAGTGTGTGCTTTCATGGACCCCTGCTGCTGATGCCATCATGCCTGGGTTTGGCCTAGGAATGTGGCATGACCAGGTTCCCTGGCGATGGTGACTGATCTGGGCAAATATTCAAGACTTGCAGAGGTGGTTTTGTAAAGATTTATTTGTTTTTATTGGAAAGTCAGATATAAGAGAGGAGAGACAGAGAGGAAGATCTTCCTTCTGCTGGTTTACTCTCCAAGCGGCCTCAATGACCGATCTGAAGCCAGGATTTTCTTCCGGGTCTCCCACGCAGGTGCAGGGTCCCAAGGCTTTGGGCCATCCTCGACTGACTGCTTTCCCAGGCCACAAACAGAGAGCTGGCTGGGAATCAGGGCCACTGGGATCAGAATCAGCATCCATATGTGATCCCGGTGCATGCAAGAGGAGGACTTGAGCCACTATGCTACCTTGCCGGGCCCCATAGTTTTTTTTTTTTTTTTTTACCTACTTGAAAGGTCAAATGACAGAAAGAGAGGAAAAAAGAAAGAAATAGCTTTGATTTGCGGGATCTCTCTCTGATACCAACAATCAGGGCTGGGCCAGCAGAAACCAGGAGCCCAGAGCTCCTTGGTGGGGCCTCCAGGACTGAGCTGTCACTTGATGTCTCCCAGGGAGGAAGCTGCATCGGAATGCCAGTAGCCGAAGCTCAGAGCAGGCACTCTGGCCTGGGATGGCAGCCGCTACAGCAGGTGCCAAGGCCAGACATTCATACATATGTGCCTGTGAGACACATGTGAAGGCTTGGGACTGTGAGGGCAGCCAGCCCCAGACGCCGTAAAGCTTCCTTGGCAAGCAGATGCATCCATTCCTTCACTGATTCGCTCACTCCATTGCTCATTCACTTATCAAGCATTCGATCTTCCAACCAGTACCTTTTGTTCAGTTAACAAAACAATCTGTCAAACAGAACCTCCCCCCTGAAATCTTAGCGAAGCCATTGTATGCTGTCCTCAGACACCCCCTCAGAGGCTCTACAGTTGTCCCAGCTGGGCTGGCCACTCCTGTTCTGGCCTGGTGGCTCTCTGCAGGCTCCCCTAGTTGGCACAGCTCCTTCTCCCCATGGATGCTCTTTGCTGCTTGGTGCTGTCTTTTGAGGTGAGGAACTTTGTGTGGTTCTGTCCCCACATGCCACATGCCTCCTCTGCTTTGGCAGCCTGATGGCAGAGGTTGGTCAGCCTCGGCTGGCTCTTTCTCTGGGGCAGTCTGCTGCTCAGTGGTGCTGTGCATAGTCTCTGGCCTCCCAGCTGGGAGCACACAGTCTCACATGATTGTCCTTGCTTCACGCTCAGATTGAGCACTGTTTAGGTCAGGTGTTTACTGCATGACCTATCTCTTTCCAAGGTTCGTAATCCCTGAGACCACGCCTGTTGTCAGGCATTACTTACTAAGGATGATAATATGAATCTATTTTAACTCTTTCTACTGAAATCCTATTATTATTTTTGAGTGTGTGTGTTTTAAAATGATTATATGGTTCTCTGGTATGTGTAATTCCAACAGAAAAGGCAGGCTGAATCCTGGCTCACTTGCTTTTCCTCCCCTGCATACAGATTTCAGACCAGAGATTTGATGCCCTAGTGCTGTCCAAAGGTGACTAGTGAAGTTTTCAGGTTCCTTGAGAGAGGGTTGGCTTTTGTTCATTAAGAACACATGGATCTGATGCATGGAATCCCTCGTAGTACTTCCTCCCTTTGTTGCTAAGATTGTCTCATTGTTGGCCACGGGAGCCCTTTCCACTGGCCCCTGCAGCCTTTGTTTGCAGGTGTTGTTGTTCACTGCTGCTGCCATGCTGTCTGGTCTCACAGGTGGCCTCAGGTCTGTTCTGGGCACTTCCTGCTGAGACCTGCAATCACCGCTTCCACAGGGCACTCCAGATCCTCTCCATGGCAAATGGTCCTTAGCCACGGAGGGGTGCTCACTGCCGCTGGCCGGTCCTGCACATGGTTTCCGTCCAACGTGGTGGTGGAGATGGAATCATCTGTTCCTTTTGTCCAGACACCCACTAAAGCACAGTCATCCTGGCACTCTGTAAGGATTGCTGCTGCCCTCCCCAGATGCCTGCCGAGCACTTCCAGTGCAATGAGTACCACCCAGCACAGTGACAGGCTCAGGGGGCAAGTTATACTCAAAGGGTATGGGTAGGCAGGGAGCCCAGTGCACAGCCAGCAAGCCGCCAGGTGGCAGGGCAGGAGGCTGCCACGCTCTTCTACCCGATTTCCCACCCGTTGCCTGTTTCCCTTCAGTTGGAGAAGAGATTGAGATGACCCCCATGGTGTTTGCTAAGGGCCTGGCAGATTCTGGCTGCTGGGGGGACAAACTCTTCGGACGGCTGGTGAGCGAGGAGCTTCGAGGGCGTGGACGCGGTTGTGGCCTTCGGAAGGCCTCCCAGGCCAAGGTCATCTATGGACTGGACCCTCTGTTTGAGTCCGGTCGTACGTGCATCATCAAGGTGCGCAGTCAGCTGGTGTTTGGGCCCAGCAGTGAGACCTCTCTCCTGGGAAGGAACTACGACGTCACCATCCAGGTATTCCGGCCTGTCCTTCCCCACCTGCACCCTGTGGGGAGACCCAGTGCAGGAGCTGCAGCCCTGTCCATCTCCTCCATGTCAGGCTCCCAGGACTCTCAGCTCTGCAGGGAAGCCTGACGCATGGCCTAGCTCAGGCACTTGATATCAGAGCTGAGTGTGTCCAGGCCTCGGGACTGGTGTTTGCAACTGTGTTTGCAGCCGTAACCTTTCCCCTCATCTCGTACCTGCTGTCTCCTGGCCATGATGGTTGGGTGAGAAGTGTAGTCTTCCCTGCTTGCCACAGTTACCCAAACCCTGCCTCTGTTACTACAGCACTAGAAACTGCAGTTCAGAAGTGCTCAGAGAGCCTCTGCCTAACTAACAGCCTAGGATACGACAACTGAACCACGGCAGGGCATGGGGCAGGGTCAGCCCTGCCTGCTCCAGCTGGAAGCTACCAGTAGTCCTCCAGCAGGTGGCTGCGCACTGAGAGCTTCCCTGCTAATCGGATTTGATGCCCACTAATCCACAGGGGTGCAAGATCCAGAACATGAGCCGGGAGTACTGCAAAATCTTTGCGGCTGAGGCCCGGGCCGTGCCTGGCTTTGGAGAAGTGCCCGAGTAAGTACACAGGGAGGGGAGGATGACCCCATGGCTCCTGGGGCATCCCAAACGGGGACCCCATACAGTTGAGGGAAGGATAGAGACTGCAGGATTCACTTCCACCTCGGCAAAGTCTCCTGTCATCCACCCTGCCAGGCCACGTTTTTCTGACTGCCTAGGATGGGCTCAGCAGATTCTGGGCTCTGTGGATACAAGGGCCTGGACTGAGTCAGGCTGACGGTTCTGGGGCTGCAGAGGGACCGGCATGGGCTTCTATACCAGGCTCACTGCTCTTCAATCATCTGGAGTTTAAGCCTGGGCTGCCACTGGGTTCCACTCTGCAGAAGTGGCCCCAGGGATGGACAGACTCTGAGCCAAGGGCCTCCATTTCTGTCCTGAGTCCCGGGGGAGCTGCCTTCCTCATGGTTCTGTGGGTTTGGGTTCACCTCTGAGATGCCCCCTGGTGGGAGGGGCCCTTCTTTGAGTTGGAGGGGAGCACTCACACATGGGACACTGTCTAGGATCATCCCCTTGTACCTCATCTACCGGCCCGCCAACACCATCCCGTACGCCACCCTGGAGGAGGACCTGGGCAGGCCGCTGGAGTCCTACTGCTCCCGGGACTGGGGCTGCGCAGGGCCCCCCACAGCCACCAGCCTCCCCGAGGCCGTGCACAAGTGCCAGACCTTCCAGCACTGGCTGTATCAGTGGACAAATGGCAGCTTCCTGGTCACAGACCTGGCAGGTAGGAAGTGGGGGTGCACAGCGAGACCCTGCCTGGGATGGGGGGGTGGCTCACAGGCTCAGTGTTGACTCTCCTCCACCTCTCATAGCACTTGGTCTCCCAGTGTTGGCTGGACAGGGACCGTTTTCCACGTGACCCTAACAGCCCAGGGCCTTGGTGGCCCAGTCTATGACTGCAGTACGTGTACTAGACCACTCTGAGCCACTCAAACTCCAGGAGGAAGCCATGTCAGACACTGGGGGGATCTGCTTCATCACCTACAGCTCCCCCCATCCCTGGGTGCAGTCCACCTACTCCCTGCAGCTGGGCCCTGCTCTTCGTCCTGCCCCGACTTGCAGGCCTCTCCTGCAAGCTGGGGAGCCAGACCATTGCAGCAGCTCCTCCACTTGTGCCAACTCCTCTGTGAATAGCTTCATCTACTTCTCTGCATTTGACTGAGATGGCCCTACACAGTCCAGCAGCAGAAGCCCGGTAGCCCTGACGCCTTCCCCTGGCTCTAGCCTCTCCAGACCTGCTCCCTAACCAGCACTTGGCTCTCTGGAGGGGGAGGAGAGGGAGTGGGACGTTCCATGGTGTTCCTGAGGGAAAGAGTAGGAGCACCAAGGGTGAGAGATGCAGAAGTGACTGTGGGAGGCTTTGGTCGGAGCTGATGATGCTGTGATGATCCCATCCATGCTCCATGTGGGGGAGCCACTGTCACTGAGGGGTCCCTTGTCCCTTCCTCCTCCAACATTGAGCAGACACTGGGAAGAGAGACTATGAATGAGGACAAGCTGTCTGCAGACGGCTGTGGTCAGCAGCAAGCGGAGAGTGCGGGCGGCAGCAGGTCTTGGAGTGGGAGGGTCTCCTGTTCAGTCTCACACATGGTGGGCTCATGTTGAACCTCGCCACCTTTGCCTTCTCAGGCGTGGACTGGAAGATGACTGACGTGCAGATCGCCACAAAGCTGCGCGGGTGAGCCAGCGGCTCTGGTCCTTGGGGAGTCTCTCCGGGTGTCAGCTGTCCTGACATCTGATTCTAGGTTGGAACCCAGGCCCACCCACAGCCCCAGGACTGACTGCCTTCTGGGGCCTCTGATCCCCATGCTGCATGCCCTTGACCCCAGGTCAGGACTGGAGGCCATAGTGGATGCCTGCACACAGGTTGCTCTGAGATTCTGAACCAGCTCGCCATGGTGCAGATACGCATGACCCTGTGACTGGGCTGCTGGGTGGAGTCTCCTCCAGTTGTTGGTGGATACTTGCTCCCACTGACCAATATCCCAGTGATGACCCATGTGTCAGGGCACAGTGAGTTGGGAGGCTGCCACATGCAGCATTCTTCAGGAGAGACTTTTGGTCCCCTCAGGCAGGGTGGGAGGCACCCTGGGCACTATGCCCAGGCAGTCCCCAGTGGCCTGGGCCACAGGGCAGGATTCCCATTGCTCTTCCTGTTCGGCTGCAGGTACCAAGGTCTCAAGGAGAGCTGCTACCCAGCCCTGCTGGACCAGTTTGCTTCCTCCCACCAGTGCAACAGCTACTGCGAGAGGCTGGGTCTCAAGCCCCTCAGGGGCACCGAGGCCCACCCCCAGGCCAAGGCCAAAGGCTCCAAGAGTCCATCTGCTGGCAGGAAGGGCCAGCTGAGTCCGCAGCCCCAGAAGAAAGGCCCCCCGAGTCCCCAGGGCACCCGCAGGAGTGCCTCAAGCACCAAGGCCACCCCGCAGGCCTCAGAGGCAGCTGCCGTCCAGTTCCTGGGAGAGCCTCCCACCCAAGAAGGGGGCTGCAAGGCCCAGGGCATGCGATAGCCCCACCAGGAGGCTGGGGGCTTCCACGAAGCAGCAGACCCACCAGGAAGCAGCTTGAACTGATAGAGACTTTCTCAGTATGGAACAAACCATAGTGAGCAAGTGTGCCTCAGAGGCCCCAGCAGGGTCTCCCTAAGCAGCCACTGCTCACTGAGCTCCTCGTCCGACACCATGGATGTGTGGCCCACAGGTCCCTGGCCTCAGCCGGGGCTGTTGTCACTCAGGGCTCCGAGTGTGTGGCAGTGGGTCCTTCCTTCAAGTTTACAGCCACCACTGCTGGAGGCTCCTGAGTGCTCTGCATGGGTTCCCAGCCCATCCAGCCCAGGCCTACCCTGCAGCCCGCACTGACCCTCTGCTCTGGCTGCCCCGCTCTCTCCTTGTTGTCAGGCCCCAGCCCCCCTGCAGGCCTGGCCTGGTGACTCTCAGGTGCCTTCTTGCAGCTGCCATGTTTGATTCACTGCATTCTCCTGCACTAACCCGTCCCTCAGCGCAGTGAAGAGCCCTTGGGCTCTTGTGTGTGCTCTCTAATGGTGCGTGTTTCTCAGCACCTTTCCCCAGCGCTCCAGCACTCCCCAACTCCCACTCCCCACTGGCACACACATCCCTGGCCTGGACCCCAGCTGCGGCTGCACCTGCCTCTGCCTGCAGCAGCTCTTTGCTTGTACCTTTGCCCAAGGGCTCCCCGATCCTGACCCCCTCACCAGCACCCGGGTGAGGAACAGACCCCAGCCTCGACTGGCCTATGTGCTCTGGCCCTGCTTTTCCTGGGGCCTCTGCCTGGGCCAAGGGCTGGCCTGAGGTTCACATCGACCACTGTAGCTCAAAGAAAGGGGTTGATGTGCAATCCCCTTTACCCAAACTGAAGTGGGGTGTCCCAGGATGTTTTCCGCTCCTCCCAAGGCAGCAAGGACAGGTTCAGCCCATTAGTGCCCTCTGGTGGCAGGCCCCCTCTGTACCTGTCCCTGCCATCAGCTGTAGCCCTGGACTCCCAGGAAGAGCAGCTCCCCAGGGATTTCTGCATAAGGGAGTGAGGGCAGCCCCCGGGTGTCTCCCGAGCACAACACCCCGAGGTCTGTAGCAGTGTGCATCTGGAGTGAGCTTGCCTCCCCTGGAATGCAATAAAGGCAGCAGTTGCGCATTTGGCCTCCCTCCCTCTGCTGTGGTCAAGGGCGTGGAGTTGAGGGTTGCCTGTTAGGCTGGCTTACTGAGGGTGTCTCCGGGCTGTTTCAGGCCCCCTGGGAAATACTCTCATATTTTATTCTGGGCTGAAACTCAATGTCAGCCTTCCTGTGCACAGCTAGGTCCTGCTGCCCCATGCCCCGAGCTGGCATCGGGTCTGTCATCTGGCACCCTGGATCTTGCCCTTCCCTCAGGAGCTGGACCCCCGAGGAAGGGAGAACAGAGCCAGGGGATCTCAGGGAGCTTCCTGGGGTGCCGGCCGCTCCTAATCTTCTCCAACCCACACCTGACACCCTCTTCTCTACCTCCTCCTGTACTCAGGTGACTGCGCCCTGCTGGCCTACAGTCATGGACGTCCCAGGTGCCACCCTGGGATGCATGGCTGTCTGACTCTAGTCCTGCCCCTTCCCATGGCACCAGACATGGTTTCCCTGCGCAAAGTCTTTGTCCGAGCTGCTGCCTGTTTTGTTCCCTTGTCACTTAGAGGGGCCAGGTAGTTGCCAAGTCAGACGAGCTGTCACTGCATCTATGTGAGGAGGACCTGTTTCTCCTTTGGGGCCCTCACCTGTCAGAGGGCAGCAAGGAGCAGTGATAGGACATCTAACCCCTCAACCCTGGAGGACAAAGCCATGTATCTGCTGCCAGTTGGGGGCTTATACGGCCAGCTGCAGGCCGGCCCCAGCATCTTAAGGTACTGCAGAAACGTGAGCACCTGCCAGGCCAGTGTTCAGGACTCCTGACCGGATGGGGCACCCTGCACATCGGCCCTGCCAGGCTCTCGGGGTCCCACATTGCCATCCTGTCAGGTTACCATGCTCAGGTCATGCATATAGCTATGTGGGACCCATGCACGACCTCCTGTGAACATTCAGCCCTCTCTAGGCAGTTTTATGCCTCAGGAGTAGCTGTTCTGTCTTGTTCGGGGCATGATAGGGCACTTGTACACACATTCAGTGTGCACATTGGCTTGTTCTCAATGGTCCCAGAACCCTGCTGCTCACACATCTGAGGAACCCCTGGGTGCAAGGTGGTATGCTAAGTGGGAGGGCCAAGGCCAATCCAGAACAACATTTTCTGGAACATTCAAAACAAATCCCTGTTTCCCCTCTCTCTCCCAAGGCCATGGGTGTGCACAGTGTGACAGGAGGAAGCACCAAGGGAGAGGGAGCAAACAGGTCACACAGTTGGATGAGTTGTCCACCCCTAGTCCCAGCGGGGAGCAACCATGTGACCCTAAGGAAGGCAGGCCTCTAAAGCACCCATCCTGAGCAGGCCGTTGGGTGTTCTGTGGGCAGGTCCCCTCAGGGGGATTCCCCAGGAAGGCTCGCAATAGGAATCTAAGGGCTCAACCCCATTCTTGTCCAGGCTTTGCCAGTTAAGGATCCCGCCTTCACATGGCAGTTGACCAGTGCTTCAGCTGTGATCACTCTCCTGCTAGTTCCTGAGAGGCTCTGTGGCCTGTTCCATTTCTGGGCACCTGTGGGTGGCAGACACAGCTCAGTCTGGTTCCCAAGCTATGTCCATCAGGGCAGGCCAGCACCCAAAATTGGTCCTTAGGTTTCATCTCAGCTGCTCCTATCAGAGCAGGGCACATGCTCACTGAGGCCCTTCTGGCTTAGCTACAGCACCCAGTGGGTGAACTCTAATTCAGGCCAAGAATCTTCAGAACTTGAGATCTGAGCTAAGGGCAGAAAGGGGCTGGGGGAGAGCATGCTGGGCAGGGTAACATGGGGCAGAAGCTCCGGACCTGGTCATGGCTCAGCACTTCTTAACCACAGTTTCTGTGCCAAGGAACAAGGTCTTGGTGGTTTGGCTGTTGTGCCAAGATCATGGCACACTGAAACCAGCAGAGGGCAGGTCTGTCAAAGCCCTGGGGCCTGCAGACACAGTCAAGAGAGTCAGTAGGCAGGGGGCCAGGAGGTGGTTGCCCATGGGACCCTGTGCACTGGGCCTGGTGTCTTCATGAACAGGAGGAAACTGAAACAGCCATAAAAGCACAGCATAGGGGTGAGCATCAGACTTCACTGTAAGACTAGAGAGCTTAGGTTCAATTCTTGGCTCCTGTTCTGCCAGTTCGAGTCCTGGTTGCTCCACTTCCCATTTAGCTCCCTGCTTGTGGCCTGTTAAAAAGAGTGGAGGATGGAACATGGGAGACTTGGAAGACACTCCTGCCTTGCAGCTTCACCCTCTGCACACATTTAGGGAGTGAAACAGCAGATGGGAGATTTCTATCTCCCCTCTCTAAAATCTGCCTTTCAAATAAAAAGCACCTTAAAAAATAACACAAAAGGTATATTATCTTTTGATTCATTCTATTTCTGGGAATTTCTTCTAAGCTTTTATAAAAAGACAATGAACAGGTCTCACTGCCCCCAATAGAAGAAAGATAAAGAATTGGGGTCCTGGCGTGATGGCTCAGTTGGTTAATCCACTTGCAAGCACTGGGTCCTTAATAAGAATGAATTTGGACACATTTATGCCTAGTTCATACTTGACAGACAAGGTTAGCCAAGAATCAGATAACGCTGACTTGGCTCCAAATGACAAAGACAAGAGCAGAACAAGAAAATTTGGCAAAGAATTTGTCCAAGTCCTAGAAATTCTTGGGCGATTTTCTCCTGTGAATAAGATCTCTTATGCCAGCTCAAAGCTTTTCTGGAGTCTTCCAATATGAGATCAATCACAGATGACTCTCCAGAAGTGAGGAAACTTGTTACCTTGAGTGAGACTCTTAGATTCCTCCAAGAAGAGATGGGAAGGCTAGAAGCAACATGGGTGGTGACGAAAGATAAAAAGACACAACCATTAGGCTCCCCCAGGAGGAGGATTGGAGACCATCTGCTGCATCACTGAGACTACAGATCTTGAATCTGTAGTCATTCCAAAAATGAAGGAATTCAAGAAGAAATAAAATGTTTTACAGAAATTGGTGAAAGGAAAAGGGATTTTCCTAAAAGCCAAAATGATCGGTTATATATTCTAGAGGACCAGCTTTGAAAAGAAAGGAGAACAGAAGTTTGAAGGAATCAGAAAATTAGACAAAATGTCAACTCTATAAATGGATATCTATCAGCTAGCAGAGGAAAAGGAGATCACAGACCAGCTAAGGAAACGAAGGCCACCATCACTGTCCTCATGAGCAGCGAGGCTGAGCCCTCCGCTATGGGCACTGACCTCACTGGGCTGACCCAGGCCAGCAGGGACAAGAAGGTCATTGTGACCGAGATTCTGAAATGGGTCAATGTGAAACACCTGATATGGGTTCATCAGTCAACACAACAGCAAGGAAGACATTTTGTCCATCAGTCTGCCATTAAGAAAGGAAGTACTCCCAGGAAGTACCAGTAGTGTGGGAAACAGCAAGACTGTGGAGTTCAATGTGGTGGAGGCTGTGAATGCCATGGAACCTGGTGGAGGTGCAGTGCAGGGCTGTGACCTGTGCTACCCTCACGGAGGGCTCCTCAGCATCATTCCCAGCAGTCACCTCACCAGTGACAGTTCAGACAGCACTTCTGAAGGCCAGACCCAACCTGGCTGGTCCCAAAGTAGCTGAAGGCTCCTGCCCTGCTACCTGCAGAGAACCTACTGCTGCACACAGTATTCCTGTGGTCCAGTGCAGAACCAAGAGATGGAAGGTGCTGACAGCCAGGCTGCACACGAGCACAGCTGGTGTGCAGGACAGTGTGTCAGTGTTACAGAGTTCCCTGTCACCACAGCCAGCCTGCAGAGGACAGTGACAGAGCAGACAAGGAAGACCAAGGAGAAGCACCCGAGGCCAGCAGCAGGCTCTCTGGTGCTCCCCGCACAGCTGCCCAGAGAGCCCTAGACCCAAGACCACAGGAGCAGGGCTGTGGAGCCCAAATCCAACCGCTCCTGATAACAAGTAAAGCCGGCTTCGCATCCCCACCAGGGTCTGACTTAGTCAACCACAGAGAAGAAACGAACCTCAAATCCAACTCAGAACACAAGATTTGAGCTGAAAATTTTGACTATTTACTTGTTTATCATTTTTTTCACTTAACCAGACTAATCGACTTATTTATTTATTTATTTGCCACCTAACCTCACAGGGCTAATTTTCCCCCCACTTAATCAGACTAATACATTAATTTACATCATTTCTGCAGCTTATTTTTATATAAAGTTGTCCTTTTTGGGGTCATTAGAAATGTTTTTTGTTTTGTTTTGATTAGTAAACCTTTTAAGGCTTATCTAATTGTGTTATAATATTCAGGTTGAAATTTTTAAAGATTTATACTTTTTTTTTTAAAGATTTATTTATTTTTATTGGAAAGTCAGACATATAGAGAGGAGGAGAGACAGAGAGCAAGATCTTCTGTCTGATGGTTCACTCCCCAAGTGACCGCAATGGCCGGAGCTGAGCCAATCCGAAGCCAGGAGCCAGGAGTTCTTCCGGGTCTCCCACACAGGTGCAGGGTCTCAAGACTTTGGGCTGTCCTCAACTGCTTTCCCAGGCCACCACAGCAGGGAGCTGAATGGGAACCAGGGCTGCTGGGATTAGAACCGGTGCCCATATGGGATCCTGGCATGTGCAAGGTGAGGACTTTAACTACTACAGTATTATGCCAGGCCCGATTTATTCATTTTTATTGGAAAGTCAGATTTACAGAGAGAAGGAGAGACAGAGCTGAACTAATCTGGAGCCAGAAGCCAGGAGCTTCTTTTGGGTCTCCCACGTGGGTGTAGGGTCCCAAGGCCTTGGGCCGTCCTTGACTGCTTTCCCAGGCCACAAGCAAGGAACCAGAAAGAAAGGAAAGCAGCCAGGACACAAACTGGTACACGTATGGGATCCCAACGTGTGCAAGGCAAGGCCTTTAGCCACTAAGCCACCTCACTGGGCCCTCAGTTGAAGAAATCAATTTTAATTTCTCTACTTGATTTAATCTGTCAACTTGAACTTACAGCTTGTTTCAAAAAAAAAAACAAACCTACAAGTTAAAAAAAAATATGTATTAGCTCAAGTAATAAAGTTCTCAGAGAGAAAGCTAGTATCACTTGGAAAGCACCTGACAGGAAGTTGCCTCATATAGCCAATCCAGGCAAAATGGAAGACAAACTCCACGCAGAGATTAGAGGGCATTACAACTCTGTGCCTCCAAAGAGTGAGGGAATCAGTGTGCTGACAGAGGGAGAAGCACAGGTTACAGTTTCACAAGAAGACCTGAACAAAACAGAAACAAGAGCAATCTAAAGAAGTAACACAGCAAAGCAAGACCTAATAGAGGCGCATGAGCCTTCTAGAAACTGATGACATTTCTATGCAAAAAATATGTGACCATTCTTAATAAAGATTCTAAACCTCCCAAAAATGATTGGAGGAATTTCAATAGAATCCCCCAGAGTCTACTCACAGGAAACACATTCCTGCATGGGTGTGGGGCTGGGATAGGATAGAGAGGGGTTTAGGCAAAAAACCCACAGCCCTCACTTGCTCCAGCCTGCAGCTAGAGATGGGTCCTGCTTGCAGGGCAGACTCCACCTTGCCACAAGCCCACGCACTGTGTGTCCTCACCCTTCTGCCAGCTCCCTGGGAGCCCCAGTGCCCTCAGAAGCCACCAGTGAGCCCTGCTGCTGCTGCCGCCCCACCCCAGCACCTTGACCATGGACTGTACTTCTGCCCCAACCTTGTGGACACCACTGGGACATGCCACCTCCCATCACTGGTTCACCTCCCCCATCACTGGTTCTTTGCTGCATCAGGTACAAAGGCTGACCTGGCCTTAGCCTCCAAGCCAGGGCCCTGAGATTTTCCTTACACTGTTCCAGGCCTAGCCCTATACTGGCTCATCTGGAACCTTTTATCAGAAGTCAGAGCCCCCTATCCCGCTCCAGGGAAAGGCCCAGATTGGTGGGCCTATCCAGAGAAGCCAGCCTTCCCCATTCCCCACCACGCAGCCCCCTGGCTCTAGCCAGCTTCCATCTGAAAAGTACAAAGACTTTAGCTCCTGGGGCCAGGATCCCTGCCGGCCAGCCCCTATGATGGGAATGAGTAGGGACCTCCTGGCTGGGAGTGGAGAAGCCCTGTGGCAGGACAGCTGCACACTGGGGTGGGAGGCACTGGGGTGGGAAGCATCAGGCACCCCTGCTAGTCTGCTGGAGCTGGACTGTGTGTGTTGGGCTTCCTTGTCCCTTGCCACAGCCCAGGGAGCAGCGGGGCCCAGCCTAGCTGAGAGCAGAAGGGGCTGCCAGGGTTCCGCCCAAGACACCCAGCCCATCACACCCTTGTTTGCAGGTGATGATCAGCTACATTTGGGTGGGTTGTACCTCCTGGTGTGCCCACCCCAACCATACCCAGACTCGGGGGGTGAGGGAGAGAAGTGGTGTCCGGCTCAATGAGGCTGACAGGTGTCGCTCAAGTTCAGGTTACAGGCTGGCACACACACCTCTGTTGCCTTTGGGAGGTGAGACGGTGTGAGCCACTCTTGGCTTTGGTGATCAGAAAGACAGCAGATGGGGAGGTGGGGTGCCTTCCAAGAGAACTTCCCTTCACCTTGTCACCGGCTGCACTTTGCACATACCCCTGCCTGCCACATTGTCTCACCAGGAAGTCCTGAGGGGATTGTAAGAATTCTGCCCTCAGTGTGAGAGTTAATTATTGAAGGGTTGCTGCCCACCGCCAGGGTAGATTAATGTTTAGTGGGAGGAGTGAGTGACAAAGGCACCTGTGGCTTGACTTTGCTCACTGTGGCTTTCTCATCAACAGTACAGAACTGAGAGAGGAGTGGGATGGAGGGGTGGGGAAACGACAGGATGGGGGTTTGTTTCTATGATTGGATCATTGCCTGAAACACTTGGGCTGTGGTTGACAAGCCTGGCCACCCTCCTCTTCCAGCATTGCTGAGGCAGCCTCTGTTACAATCAGCACTGACCCAAGAGAGGGAGGGCAAAGGTACAGAATGGAAGAGAGAGCAAAGGTGGCAGGTGGAGGGGGGCAGGCCACAAGGTGGCTTCCTAAGGAGGGAAACTGGCGGTGGGAAGACAGGAGGGTCTGGGACAGGAAAGGCAGCAGCCACAGCAGGCATGCTCTCCCACAACTCTGAGAGAGGGTGGGATCTCTGTGCGGGTGGGGCCCTGACACAGCTGGATGAAGCATGCGGGAGGCCCGGCCTACTCCAGCTGTGGACTCTGCCCCAAGCATTTCCACTGAAATAGGGAGATAAGTTTACACATCAGGAGGCAGGCCCCCCAGTCCACGAAGAAAACACCTGTGATCTGTCAGTTTCCAAGGGACCTTGTGCACGACAGAGAGGTGAGTAGGAACAGGATGCTGCCCCTGGCTTGGCAGCTGTGTGTGTGTATCCTGGCCTCCACTTGTGTGTGCGTGTGTGTGTGCAGATAGCCTGGCCCTGCCTGTGGGTGCATGCTCCGTTCTCTGTGTGTATTTGTATGTGTGCATGTATCTGTGTGTGAGGGGTGGGGGGGGGGAGGGAGGATGTCTGCTTGACCAGGCTGGCCTTTGGATAGGATCAGAGGACACTTGGAGAGAATAACAGGAATGGGAGTGGGGAGCCAGGAGCTCCTCAGACCCTGCTTTAGGGGTGAGCTGAGGCTTAGGAGCTGACAGCTTCAACAACAAAGGGGTGAGATGAGGGCACTTCCAGGACCAAGGATGGGGAACCCAAAGGTAAGCTTCTTCTGGTTAAAAAGAAAAAAAAAAAAAAGAAATCTATGCATAGCTGTTTCAAAACACAGTTTCATGAACTTTTTCAAGGCTTATCATATGCATGGACTTAAAAAGTTTTGGAACTGGGATCTGGCACTATGGCATAGTGGGTACAGCTGCCACCTGTGGCATCAGCATAGCATATGGGTGCCGATTTGAATTTCAGCTACTCCATTTCCAATCCAGCTCCTTACTATGTGCCTGGGAAAGCAGGAGAGGACGGGTCCCCTGCACCCATGTGGGAGATACTCCTGGCTTCAGACTAGCTTAGCACTAGCCATTGCAGCCATTTGGGGAGTGAATCAACAGGTGGAACATTCTCTCCCACTATATATATATATATTTATTGGAATGTTGTTCCAATAAATAAATACATCTTTGAAAAATATATTTTTGAACCAAAACAAGCACATTCTTTAATTCTATTTTTCATAAGCTTAGAAGAACCTTTGTCCATCTCTCCAGCATCTAATTATCCGAGAAGTCTTCATTACAGCCCCTGAGTTCGAGTCCCCGCTCCTGCTCCTGACCTAGCTTCCTGCTGGCACAGACCCTGGTGGGTGGTGTGGTGGACTCAGGGGTTGCAAAGCTGGGTCCAGTGCCTGGCTCCTGGCTTTGACCGTGGCTCAGCCCTGACTGTTGCAGGCATTTGGGGAGTGAAACAGCAGATGGTAGCTCATTCTCTTTTTCTCTGATCTTTCAAGTAAAAAAAAAAAAAAAGAAGAAGAAGAAAGAAAGAAAATTTATGGGCAGGAGGAGGTGTCTGCTCCGAGAGCTGGGTTGAACTCTGATGGCACCCAGGTGCTCCGTGATAGTGTCAGGCACCTGTCCCGACCCTCCCCCCGCTCCCCAGCTTACCCAGTTCTCTCTCTCTCTCCTGTGTCCCTTTCTGTTCTGTCCTCTTGATTCGTGGCAACCCTGTTTTGTCTTGCAGCTGCACAGCCTGACCCACGGAAGACAGCATGCCCCGGCATACAGAGGCCAGCTCTGCCCCGCCCGAGGCCCACGGCCTGGACAACATGGCGGCGGACTTCCTGGAGAGCCTGGTCTGCCCCCTCCTGCATCCCCGTGGCCTCCTGGGTTGGGGGGTTGGCTTCCACCTGTCTCCTCCTCTTCCTCAGCACAACGCAGCCCCTCGCTTGCCGAGGACCCACTGTGCGCTCACAGGGTCTGCCCAAGTCTGCAAGGACAGGGATGGTGTTCAAAAGATGGTGGGGTGCGGAGGGGTCTCGGGGCCAACTGCGCAGCAGCAGGAACTGCTGCAGCCGGCTGTGCATCCTCAGACTTGCGTGAGACGCCCAGCCGGGACCATCCTCAGAGGCCCCCACCCAGCCCAACAGGGTCTCTGGTGGTCCCAGGCCAGGCTCTGCACATAGCAGGTGCCCAGGGCAGGAGCTGCAGAACTGGGGGAGTTGCCCTAGGGACTTAAGTGTCAAATCCCGCCCACCCACATGGCAGGTGTCTGTGGGGGCCCAGGGCGGCCCCTCGTGTCACCTCTGTGGCGGGAGGTGGCCCTGACAGTCCCTGATGCTTCTAGGAGGAAGGCCAGCTCCCTGGCAGCAGCCTGGGCCGCGTTAAGGACGGTAGCAGCGGCTGGAACGGGGCAGCGCCAGAGCCCCTCTCCCGATGGTGGGTACCACGGGGTCACCTTGAGGACGGGATGTGGGAGGGGACTGGCTCCTGACAGATGTGGAGGGTTCTGTGAAGGTCTGCTGAAGAAGGAGCTGCAAGTGTGTTACCCATCCAGTCTGTGCAGATGGTCCAGGCTTTTTTCTGCCTCCCTCCCAGGTGGGCCAGGGTGGGGTTCTATTGCTTTTAAGGAAGCAGAATGAAATTCCATTGGGAGCCCCATCAGGGGGTCTAGGCCAGCCAGAACCCTCTCCCCACCTCCCCCATGCCTTCTACCCTAGTCCATTTAGGAGAAGGTCCAGGCACTGAACGTTCCTGGACACTGTGCTGGGGGCTGGGGCCACTGGGCACTGCTGACCATCCCCTCTTCCCTGCCCACTCCCAGGAAGAGCCTGCAGCGGCCAGCGTTGAGAGCCACCCACTTCTGCCGGCAGCACGCACAGGTGTTCCGCTGGATCCTGGTGGGCCTGCTCTGCACAGGTGAGTGTGGGCTAGCCCCTTTAGGGCATCATCACCTGGCCCAGCCAGCTGTGGCCCAGGCAGGTTCATTTCCACACCTGAGGGCTCAGCACAGGTCTGCAGGCCTCCATCTCAGGGCCAGCTGCCAGGCCATGTGGTGCTGGGCATCCATGAGCCCAGACTGCATCCTGTTCCCAAAGCAACCATCCTCATCACCAAGGGCTGGAGACAAGCATTCACAACAAGGCAGCCATCCAGCTGGGAGCATCCGAGAGGCGTGTGTGGAGTGGAGTGGTCATCAGGGAGGACTTCCTGGAGGGGGCAGCCTTTGAGACACACACGTTGAGCAGGAGTTTGACCAGGAGGAGGAAAAGGAGGAGCACGGGGAAGGCCCCTCACTCTTTCCATGCAGAGGAGTCCCAGAGTAAAGATGAGAAACGACAGGGTGTGAGTTTCAGTTGACATGACATTGCTGGGGGGTGAAATTCCAGACAAGGCCAGTGCCAGAGCACAAGACTGGGATAGGAAGGAGCCTGGGATCAGAGGTGACAGGAGATGCCGGGTGCTCGGGGGCTCGGTTTTTACCTCTACAGCTAGAGAGCTGAAGAACAGGTTCTCTGATTGTGCTTGTTTACATTTGAGAGAGAGATTTTTCCAGCTACTGGCTCAGTCCCCAATGCCTGCAACAACTAGAAGGGGGACAGGCAGAAGCTGGGAGCTGGGAGCACATCCGAGTGTCCAGCGTGGTGGCAGGGACCTAACCACTTGGACCCTCAGTTCTGCCTTGCAGGGCACAGGTTGTAGGAAGCTGGAATTGAAAGTGGAGCTGGGAGTCTCTCATAGGCTGTCAGATGGGAAGTGGGTAGGGGCGTCCTCACTGGGGCATGGGGATTTGAAAGGGCAGGCAGGGCAGAGGAGAGAGAGTGGGAGGTGAAGGTATAGGGGCAGAGGCGAGGGTGACAGGCAGGTACATGGGCAAGGCCCTGGCTCCTGCTAGTGTGGCGTGGGTGATGAAGCCCCCCCTTCAGTCCCCACCATGGGACTGAGCAGTGTTGGTCACTGATTCACAGACAGGGAGGTCCCCGGATGTAGGGCACAGGCCGACTTGCACTGCAGGGTTCAGCACAGTGGTGCAGTGGCTTAGTCTGCTTCTTGTGACACCAGTGCCAGTTCATGTTCTAGCTACTTCATGTCCACTTAGCTCCTTGCCTATGCCCAGGGGAAGCAACAGAAGATGTCCCAAGTTCTGAGGCCCCTGTATTCACGGGGGAGACCCAGAGAGAGCTCCAGGCTGCTGGGTTCAGGCTGGCACAGATCTGGCTGAGTCAGGGCATGTGCAGAGAACCTGAGAAGGAGCAGCAGAGGAAGGCCACTGATGGAGGGAGGCCCCTGGCACAGAGGGCTAGGTCAGGGGTGGAGCTGCGACTGTGTGGCCGGGCATGGTGAGGGCAGGGAGAGAGGACAGCAATGCCCTTGTCTGCTCAGTGAATTTGAATACAGCCTTATCTGCTGAGGCACGGGCAGCTTCCTGATCCTGTTTTGTAAGACAGGTGTCGGGTTCTAAGAAAGACAGTACTAGTGGGGTGTGGCCCAGTGGGGGTGCAACAGGGGGTTCAGAGGGGAACCCCGTTAAGAGGAGCCTCAGGCGTGGGTAGTGGGGAAATCCAGAGCTGCCAGTGGATGACAAGGAGCCCAGAGTCGCAGAAGCCCAGAAGTTGGTGGCGCAGTCCTCAGTGTGGGCTGGAGATGAGAGAAACCTGGGCACAGCAGGTGCACGCCCTGGAGTCCAAGGGCCAAAGAGCTGGGAGTTCCGATGGCCGAGGGCGGAAGAGGAGAAAAACGCCTGCGCACGCACGCGCACACACACACACCCAGAAGGTGGGGATACAGTCTTCCATCTACTGGTTTACTCCCCTTTGGGCTAGGCCAGACTGAGGCCATGAGCCAGGAGCTTCATCCAGGTCTCCCACATGGGTGCAGCGACCCAAATCCTTGGGTCATCTCCGGCTGCTTTCCCAGGTGCATTCACAGGGAGCTGGATCAGACGTGGAGCAGCAAGACACAAACCGATGCCTGTAGGGGATACTGCTGTTGTAAGTGGCAGCTCTCTCCCATGCCATGATGCCAGCCCATGCACTCTTACCTTTAAACTGGTTCGAGAAATGGTCCCTTGCAGTGTCCCTTCTGGCTTTCTCATGCTCGGGTGCTCCAGGTCCTCTCTGCCCTCCTACACGTTCACTGCATGCACCCTCTCTTGGAGAGGACTTCCGTGTTCTCCCAGGGCCTCACTGTGCTTTCTGTCCTGGCTGTGATCGCGGTTTCCTCTGCTTAGGTGGACTCTCTCCCTGGGGTGAAGACATCCCCAACGTGGCCAGTTCACTGAGTGGTCTCCTCATGGGAATGGCCCGGCTCATGTCACATGCACATCCCTGAACTAATCACTGTGTTGGGGAACAGGAACAGGAATCCTAGTTGCTCTTCCTGGCTAGGGCTTCCCGAGGTGGCCTGGCGTGGGGCCCCCTCTGCTCTTGGTTATTTCCTGTCTGTCTTAGGGGCAGAAGCAAACACGGCTGAGCTACTCACAAGTGAGAAGGGGAAAGAGAATCCTAGAGAGAGATGGGTGTTGGTTGTGGTCTCAGAGTGGGGACCCTGGCAGCCACATGGCAGCCCCTTCCTCAGGGAGCTGGCTCCCTTTTCTGTCCCATCCCCATGGCCCTGCGCAGTTCTGGCCTGGTATCCTGCAACTCCATGCAATTAAGCCTCAGTGCACCTTACCTGCAGTTGGCACTGCTGAATTTGCAATTCCCTTACTCACACCATGTGCCACTGGGCCACTGGTGGTAATGTAGACATGGTGAGGAGTACACCAGAGAGGGAACGGGCTCAGTAGTCTGGGCAGCCTTGCTTATCCCTCTGTGCCTGGGGGTAGCAGTGAGGGGAACTGGTGGGGGTGGTGGAGAGGATGGCTGCGGGGGCCAGGCATGCCACACATTCTACCTGATCCCTTGTCTGTCTCCCACCAGCCTATGCCGCCTTTCTGCTCATTGCCTGCCTCCTGAACTTCCAGAGGGCCCTGGCGCTGTTTGTGCTCACCTGTGTGGTCCTGGCGTTCCTGGCCTATGGCCTGCTCAAGAGGCTGCTGGGGCCCAGGCTAAGGGGGCGCATTAATCTCCGCAGCCATTCCCGCCTCAGACTCTGGCTTCAGAGGTGAGTGAGGGGATCTGTGTAAGAATTGGGGCCAAGCCAGGGTGGGGGCTGTGTGACCTCAGGCTTCATGCCTGTGTCCTGGTTGGGCACAGGCTAGGAGTCAGGGGAATAGCTTCTCCATGGTGTTGACAGCTGTAGCTAAGTTGGCAGTGGGCTGACAACAAGGCTATTACTGAGTTATGAGATTATTTGTATATTATTATATAATTGAGCTGCAATAAACATAAGGATCCAGATAACTCTCAGATGCTGATTTCATTTGTTTGGGTTAATTCCCAGGAGTAGGATGCCTGAGTCTTCATTCAGATCTCTGAGGACTCTGTCCTCCACAATGGCTGAACTAGTTTACAGTCCCCCAACAGTGCAGTAGAGTGCCTCTCCCCCAGCCCTCACAGCATTGATTGTGCTTTAATTTGGGGATGAACGTGAATCCTCATTGTGATTTGTACTTGTATTTCCCCAATGGCTAGTGAGCCCAGCCCTTTCTTGTCTAGTTTCTTGAGCTCTTTATGCATGCTGGGTGTTAACCCTTTATCACCTGCAGGCGCTCTTGGCTGTGCTGATGGTGTGCTGTGCAGGGCAGAGCTGACGTCATCTCATTTGTGTTTGCTGTGCTGGCCTGTGCCTCTCTCCGTCAATGTCTTACAGGGTTCCCTGACGCCTTCCTCTAGGAACGTGGGGCTTCAGCTGGATATTTTGCTCCCTGATTAGCTGTGAGGTCATTTCGTGCGAGGTGTGAGGTAGAAGATCCTATTTTTTGCTGTTTGTGTTTTTGGGGTCTTGGTTCACACTCTTGCATCCACGGGTCCAATTTTCCCAACAGCTTTTGTGGAGGAGGCTGTCCTTTCTCCTGGGATTAATCTGAGCTCATTTGTCAGACCTTAGTTGTCTGTAGCTGTGTGGCTTCATTTCTGGGGTTTCCACTGTGTTGTTTTGGTCCACATGTCTATTTAGTGCCAGTTCCAGGCTGTCTTGATGCTAACTGCCCAGCAGCGTGTCCTGAAGTCTGTCCTGTGATGCGTCTGGCTTTGTTGTTGCCATGTCAGGTTGCTTTAGCTGTGAGGGCTCTCCTGTGTTTCCATATGGAGGTTCACATTGTGTTTCCTGGATCTGAGGAGAATGTGCTTGGTGTTTTGATTGGGATAGCATTGAATCTGTGAGTCGCTTTCAGCAGTGTGGACATCTCGAAGATAGTGATTCTTCTGATCCATGGATGTGAAATTTTTTTCATTTTTGTGTGTCTTTTTTCTACTTCTTTCTTCAATGTTTTACAGTTTTCACTTTGCAGATACTTTACATCCTGGGCTGAATTTATTCCAAGGCATAAAGCATCTTGTGGCTATTATGAATGGCACTGCTCTTACAAGCTCTTTTTCAGCCGTGGCGTTGTTTGTGTATACGAAGGCTGTGGGATTTTGTGTGTTGATTTTATATCCTGCAACCTTATCAGGCTCTTTAAACAATCCCAAACTTTCCTTAGTGGAGCCTTTGATTCCCCTACATATATAGGATCATGTCATCTGTAAACAGGAATCATTGGGCTTCCTCCTTTCTAATTTGTATCCCCGTGATTTCCTTTTCTTACCTGACATCTCTGGTTAAAACTTCCAGAACTTTCTTGAATAGCAATGGTGAAAGTGGACATCCTTGTCTGGTTCCAGATCTTAGTGGAAATGCTCCCAGTTTCCCCTCATGTGACACAATGCAGGCTATGGGATTGTCACATATTGCCTTACGTGTGCTGAGGGATGTTCCTTCTATGCTCAGTGTATTTAAATATATATGATATATATCATGAACGGATGATGTATTTTATTAACTGCTGTATCTACATCTATTAAGATAAGCATGTGGTTTCTATTTTTCAAGTTATTTAATGTGACTTTTTTTGTATCTTTGTTGTTCCAAGTTTGTTTATTTTCTAATGTAAATTATTTCTTGCCTCATGCTAATCTTGGGCTGGGTTTGTTCTGGTGTTCTGTGAGACACATTGCTACATCATTACTTGATGTCTTTCCAGTTCCTTAATGTAGGTACTGATTGCTAGAAACTTCCCTCTTTACACCAGAATGTTTGATTTCTTGTGCAGATTGTTCAGTTTCCATGTCTTTGCATATTTTCTAGAATTTCTTAAGTTTTACTTTCCAGTTTCGTGGAATTGTGCTAAGGAAGATGCATGACATCATTTCAATTTTTTTTAATCTGTTGAGACTTGCTTTATAGTCTAGTGTATGACCTATCCTGGAGAAGGTTCCAGGCACCGAAGGAAACAAAAATGCACATTCTGCAGTTTGGGGATTGACTGTTCTGCGGGTACCAGTCAGTTCCACCTGGTCCATAGATGAGCTGAGTTGTCTGTTGAGTTTTTCTGGTAACAGTGAGGTGTTGAAGTCTCCCACTGTTATATTGGAGCCCATGTCTCCTTTAGAGCCACCAGCATTTGTTTCAAATAGCCAGGAGCTTTTTAAAACGTGCATGATGTGCATATACATTTACTATACTTCTACCTTGCTGATGAATCGATCCTTCAATCATTACATGATGCCCTTCTATTTAAGCAGTTTTTGTGTTAGTCAAGGTCAGGCACAGATCCTGGTTCTGGGAGCTGGAAACACCAGGCTGATCTGCCTACCTCTAGACATTGAGAGTTGGACCTGACCTGGCACGGGCCCTGCCTCCCCCCAGGTCAGAGGCTGGGCTGCGCGTCCTCACAGCAGGGAGAGTCCCCGGGTGGGCACTCACAGGTGCCACTGCTCATCATCCCAGCAGCCATGGCTGCATCCGATCAGTGAGGAAGCTTGACTCATGGAGGCCCGAGGTCACAAAGCAAGACCAGCCTTCTCAGTCCCTGCCCCGCAGTGGGGGCTCTGTTCTCTTCTCCTCCTGGCTCAGGCTCCTGGGCGCCCCTGTGTGTGTCTGTGTGTGCATGATGGCCAGAGTGATGGTTGCCTGTCTCCCTCCTGCAGATGTCTGGCCCTCGCTGCCCTCCTGGCCCTGGTGCTGTGGCTGTGTCTGGACACCGCTCGGCGGCCTGAGCAGCTGGTGTCCTTTGCAGGAAGCTGTGTGTTTGTGGTCGTGCTCTTTGCCTGCTCAAAGCACCACCGTGCTGTGAGTATTCCAGGAGCACTCAGGCCTGGAACCCGGAGGATGCCTCTTGCCTGCCCCTGGGGCCATTCACAGCACCAAGGGGCTTGCTAGATCTGAACCTCCTAAGCCAAGGAGTCAAGACCAAGGCCCAGCACTCTGCACTTCAGCAAGCCCTTAGGTGCCACTGAGCACTGTGGGATACCTGCCCCTCCCCACCTCACAGTGCAACCCAGGGAGGACAGCCCTGAGGAGGGGGAGTAGCAGTGTGGGGGTCAGGGCATAGGTGCAGGGATCTGATGGCAGAGAGCCCCGGGGCAGACAGAGGCTGTGGCTGAGATGTGCCTGTGCCCCGAAGCTGAGCACATGGCACACTCAGGGCCAACCATGGTTCCCACAGGCCTTTAGGGAGACTTGCCTGTGGCTGCCCAGACTGGCTGTGCAGAGTATAGCCTGTTGTGAGTTCCAGAGGTCAGCTGGCCATGAGCAGTGTCCCTCGGGCCCTGGCCCTAGTGGGCATGCACCCTCCACTGTCATCCCCAACCCCCTGCACGCTACTCCCTGTGTATGTTGCAGGGACTGAGCTCAGCAGGGCCTGTCTCTTGGTGTTGGGGGGCAGGTGTCCTGGCGAGCCGTGTCCTGGGGCCTCGGGCTACAATTTGTACTGGGACTGTTTGTCATCAGAACTGAACCAGGATTCATCGCGTTCCAGTGGCTGGGCGAGCAGATCCGGGTGAGTGTGGGGCTGGGGGTCAAGCCGTCGGTGGGTGGGGAGGCCGCCGAGCAGGTGTGGGTAACAAAGTGAGGGGAGAGGGGCCTGAGACTGGGCAGTGTGGCCTCAGCTCCCCTGAGGCCTGGGACCAGCAGCCCCACAGCGCATCTCTTCTGAGGCCAGCGTGGGATGGGAGAGGGTCCCACGTGGCCAAGCTCAGGTGGTCCTGGACCCTACAACGCTTACTCTGTAGTGGCCAACAGGAATTTGGAGTTAAGAGTGCCTTAAAAAGCTGTTATTCAAAATGTTTCCTGGAATTATACATGTTTATTGTTTAAAGGCAAGTGAAACCTAAAATTTTCCATTTTAATCATCTTAAGTCTCTACATTGATGCACATTGTTGTTGTTATCATGATTCACTTTTTTCAGAATCTTTATTAAAGATTTATTTCTTTTATTTGCAAAGTCATATATATACAGAAAGAAGGAGAGTTAGAAATATCTTCCATCCCCAAGTGAGCGCAACAGCCAGTGCTGTGCTGATCCAAAGCCAGGAGCTCAGATCTTCCTGGTCTCCCACATGGGTGCAGGGTCCCAAGGCTTTGGACCATCCTCTTCTGCTTTCCCAGACCACAAGCTGGGAGCTGGATGGGAAGCAGGGGTATTAGAACCGGTGTCTGTATGGGATCCCAGTGTGTTTAAGGCTAGGACTTTAGCTGCTAGGCCATGGCGCCAGGCCCCAGAATCTTTTAAAATTGAGGGGTCCTCTTCAAGTCATAGCAGGTTAAGCCTCCAATTGTGCTACCAGAATCCTATATGGGTACTAGTTTGAGTCCCAGATGCTCTCCTTGCAATCCTGCTCCCTGGTAATGTGCCTGGGAAAGCAGCAAAATATGACCCAAGTGCCTGGGCCCAGGCAGCTGCACAGGAGACCGGGGTAGAGCTCCAGTCGCCTCGCTTTGGGTTCAAATCAGCTCAGTCCTGGCTGTGCTATTTGGGGATGAACCAGTGGATGAAGAGCTTTCTCTTCCTCCTTCTTTCTTTGTACCTCTGCCTTTCAAATAAAAGTAAATACATTTAAAAGAGCGAGAGAGAAAGAGAGAGAGGGGGAAAGAACACGCCTGTATGCTTGTCCATGCCCCAGATGCCTGTGGCAGCAGGGTCTGGGCCTGGCAGGAGACAGGGGCCTGAACTCAGTTCAGATGTCGCATGAAAGTAGCAGAACCCAACCCCTGGCGCCATCACCACTGCCTCCCGGGTCTGAATGAGCAGGAAGTCGCAATCAGAAGCCGGAACTGGGATTTGAATCCAGGCCCTCCAGCATAGGCAATGAGAGGCAGCATGTGAACTGGGATATTCACTGCAAGGCCACCCACATGCACACTGAGACGTTGATTTGTAAAATGCAAATGCTTGAATCCAGAAGAGTCCCCTCCCCTGCCTCCTGCTCATTGCTGACATTTGCTGGAGCTCAGGGGGAGTGAATGGTAAGAGGGCAGCAAGGCTGGGCTCCCTGCTCAGTTCACAGCTCTGCCTACACCCCCATTTTGGAGATCTGAATAAGCAGAATACTGGGGTCAGGGCCAGAGAAGCAACTTGGCCCAGCAGTTCCTAACGCAGGTTGAAGAGCAGAACCCAGAGTTCCTGAGGGAGCGCAGCTTGAGCAGGGACCCCAAGGCCACGAGCCCTTGGGTGGAGCGAAGCTGTGCTTCTGGCTCTCTGGGGACCAAGCCCTCTGGCCCTGCCTCCTCATGCAGCCTCTTCTGGGAGGGTCTCACAGTGACCGAAGTCACTCACTCTTCTGCAGAGAGTGCTTGGCCCCACATCAGGTGCACCCCTGGACACCCTCGCTCTCCCCACCAGCCTTCCCTGCCAGCTCAGTTGGCCGTCTTTTACTTCCAGGTCTTCCTGAGCTACACGGTGGCCGGCTCCAGCTTCGTGTTTGGGGACACCCTGGTGGCAGATGTCTTTGCCTTTCAGGTTAACTCAACTCTGGGTGCCAAGGGTGTTGGTGGCAGGTGCCAGGGATGTGGGTGTGGTAGTGTAGGCGCTGTCCAGCAGGCAGCCCGGCCAGGCAGCAGGTGTGGGCCCCAGGGCCTGGGAGGGGCTTAGCCACACACCTGCAGAGTGACAGCTTCTGGCTATGATCTGTAAGTTCTGCAAGAGAGAGCTGTTTCTGCATTCGCTCTCTCAGTGATGCGCCCCAAGTGACAGGGCAGCTGGAGCTGGGGACCAGGTATAGGGGACAGGGTCGGGCACATGGCCCACACTCAGCCCTTCTGTGCTGCCAGGGCGGGGGGCACAGCCCGCACTCAGCCTCTGCATGCTGCGGAGACTCTGGACCCACACAGGATGGTTTCCAGGTCCTCCCAGGATGCTCCTCCTTGCGTGTCTGTCTCACACTGCCTCTGCCAGGAAGCCCACCTGTATTTGCCTCACACAACTCCCTCCTAGCCTTCCTCCCAGGCCCACAGCTCCTTCCCAACCCCCTTGCCTTCCTTCCAACAAGAATTGTGCACCAACCACAGCACAGATATTGTGGGGGAGTCAGGATTAGAACTCTGTGCTGCCTTAGGCAGGCAGCCACAGCCCTAACTGGACTGGGCAGTGGGCTGCTATTTCGTGCCTCCAGGTGGTGTGGGGAGCTGATGTGGATCACTTCCTGCTCCAGCCAGCTGCCCGAGCACCCAGAGGCCAGCTTAGTAAGCACGCAGCCTGAGCTGCCACCCATGGGCTCACCCTGGGCCTCAGCACCAAAGGTCGGGTGTCCAGCCTCCCAGGCACTGGGCCCCTTCCCTGTGTCCTGGCAGCACAGAGGGAAATTGCTGCCACACCTGGCACGTCCCGGGTCACACCCCTAGTGCCCTGGGCACCCTGTTTGCTGGCCCAGCCCTGTTCTCTGAAGTCTAGACAGTACACGCTGCTCTCCTCATCTCACTCCGGTCAAGAGCAGTCACGGGACAAGGAGAGGCAGTGGCCTGCACAGTCAGCTCCTTCTCAGGCGACATCCCCTGGGCCATAACATCAGTGACAGGTGTCCAGTGGGCAGGGCCATGTGGAAAGCAGGGCAAACAGCCCAGGGGGCTCATGGCTCCACCCAGGGCAACGGGGACCTCTAGGGCCCCTCCACTCCCACCAGGCTGTCCTGTAAGCCGCATTCATTCCCACGTCATCGTGTAGGCTAGTCTTCTCTGTATCATGCCAAGTTCAGTGTATGTGCTGCCAAAACGAGCACATGCCCCGTTCACGTTCATCCCCAGAAAGGAAACCCTGGCTGCCCCAGGCCTCGCCTGTCTGGCCGTCACTGCTCCTGCTCCCGCCCAGGCCCCCCCTGCGTGCTGTCCCGTGTTTGCTGACAGCTGTCCCCTGACACTGCTCTCCCCTTACACTGCAGCGACCCCCACCTGACAGATGCTGAGCTACAAAGCTCAGCCCCAGGCCTCCTCAGAGCTCCCTTATGTGCCCCAGCCCACCCTCTCTGTAAAGCAGCCCCCTCCCCGACTGTATTCCAGACCCTGCGGGAGGTCCTCAGCCCCTTCCTGGCTCCCCTTGACCTCCCTCTCCCCGCAGTGATGCTGACCCCAGGACCTGTCCGCAGCCCATGCTCTTCCTCACTCTGGCCCACGTGGGCATTCTCTCTCCATGGTTCTGCCTCAGCCCACCTCACTGGCCAAGTGCTGGCCTGGGCCAGATGAGAGTTCAGACAGAGTGGGGACAAGGTACCCGCACAGCCCCAGCCCACGGCAGCAGGATGCCCTTGACTTGCAGTGGGGTGTGTCCCTTGCTCTGCACCTCACTGCTCTCCATCTGGCCTCTAGGTAGTAAATGCTTGCAGTCCCCCTACCTCCTGTGCATCCCAGAGGGAGAAGAGAGAGGAGAAGATCTTCAATCCACTGGCTCACTCCCCGAAGAGCCAGGCTGGAAACCTGGTGCCAGAGCTCCTTCCTACATAAGTGACAGGGGCCAGGGACTTGGGTCAGGCTCTGCTGCTTACCCAGATGCACTAGCAGGGAGCTGAATTGGAAGTGGAGTAGCCAGGTCTCAAACTGGTAGCCATATGGGATGTCCAGCACTGCAGACGACAGCTTGATCAACTACACCACAGAACTGGCCCCTGTTCCTGTTTGCACTCAAGGAAGCAGGTGTTAGCAGTGGTGTGCTCAGGGCACTGATCCTCTGGGATGAGGAGAAAAGGGTGTGGCCAGGCTGGGCAGCACTGACTGTGGGCTCCCCAAGAGGCCACCTATAGGGACCAGAGATTACAGGTGCTGGAGCCAGAACCTCAGTGCAGAATTCTCTTAGGCCCGAGTGGCCAGACCGTGGGTGGAGCAGGCGGCCAGGGATCTCCTGGGCCCTGCCTGGTGCCCTTCCATGTGCCTGCCCTGACCTGGGCCTCTGCTGTCTTTCCTGGCAGGTTCTGCCCATCATCATCTTCTTCAGCAGTGTCATGTCGATCCTCTACTACGTGGGCCTCATGCAGTGGGTGATCCTGAAGGTGAGCTCCCGAGGCCAGAGCCACCTGCTCCTGCTTGCATACCATCCCAGAATGCTCTACTCCCTGGTTGCACACCATCCCAGAATCCTCTGCTTCCAGGTTGCACACCATCCCAGAATCCTCTGCGTTCAGGTTCCACACCGTCCCAGAATCCTGTACTCCCCAGTTGCACACCATCCCAGAATACCCTGCTCCTGGAATGGTCCACATCTTCCCACAAGCCCCTGCTCCCAGGGTCCACCTCTCTGGATCTCTGACTCCCAGTGTCTGCACCTTCCCAGAATCCCTTGCTCCTGAGGTTTACAACTACCCAGAATCCACTGCCCACAGCTCATTCCCTCCCAGAATCCCCCGTTTTCAGGATCATGACCATCCCTGAATTCCCTGGTGCCAGGGCCTACACCCTCTCCATGTCTCCTGCTGACTAAAGATTCTTTCAAGAGTCCTTGAAACCACATTGAGCAGATAGGTGTCAAAACACAGTGTGGTCTTGAACCTGCCCTAGAAGATGGGAGGGAAAAAAGAATTTACATCAGAAAGTCTGAGGAGACCCTAGCTGTGGTCCACACTAGCTAGACTAGGCTGGTTATGTGTCAAAGCCTGTGCTTAGGTTCAAACAACTGCCGCACACAACCAGGATGTGGCGGACAGTGCTGGGCAGCAGTGCACCTGGCAGAAGACACTGAGGGTTTAGCTGCTGGAGCTCAGAATCCATCAGCAGCAACAGGTGCACCAGCAGGTGCAGCCAGAAATGCAGAAGCAGCCTGTGCCTGGGTTCTCGGCATCCACTGCTCCATGAGGGAGGGAGGTGATGGGCACTGGTTTCCAGGCTGTGTTCCCAGCACCCACTGCTCCACAAGGGAGGGAGGTGATGGGCACTGGTTTCCAGGCTGTGTTCCCAGCACCCACTGCTCCACAAGGGAGGGAGGTGATGGGCGCTGGTTTCCAGGCTGTGTTCCCAGCACCCACTGCTCCACAAGGGAGGGAGGGAGGGAGGGAAGTGATGAGCACTCGTTTCCAGGCTGTTTCCCACCATGGGCTATGACAAGGTGAATGATCAGTAATACTGGGAGAGGGCCTGGACTACACTCAAAGGCTGAAGGCCAAGGGCCTGGACAGAGCAGTTACAGGGCAGGAGAGGGGGGAGGGTGTCTGCCAAAACCTAGAGAAGGGACCCTGGGGCTGGTGCACTTGGCGTCTACCAGCAGAGTAAGTAGACAGAGAGAGAGGGAGAGAGAGAGAGAGAGAGAGAGAGAGAGAGAGAGAGAGAGTGTGTGTGTGTGTGTATGCACATGCATGCAGATTCATACTGACTAAAAGGAGGAACTTTCCAGCACAGTGTTTCCCAGGCCCTGGCACTCACCTCCCCTCTGCAGCATGGAGACCAGAACACGGCACCTGCACTTAGCAAGGTGGAGGGACTGTGAGCATGTGAGACAGAGGAGATGGGGGCAGAGGCATCCATGCATGAGGAGCCCAGACCCAGCACACCTCAGGAGACAGGCCTGGGCTCCAGGTGCCCTCAAAGTGCCCGCTCTCAAGAGTGTGGCAACAGTGGCTGGTGCACTTCAGCCTGAGCTTGGAGGGGTCTTTGAGCTCCAGAGTGGGGGGCACCCTGTGCAGCCAGCAGGCAGAGTGAAGATGGGGAAACACTCCCACCCACTCGCCAAGCCCACCCTGCTGCCGTCAGCGGGCCAAGGGCTGTGTGTGCTTCCTTCCAGATCGCCTGGCTGATGCAGGTCACCATGGGCACCACGGCCACCGAGACCCTGAGCGTGGCAGGAAACATCTTCGTGAGCCAGGTGAGTGCTACAGCCTCCTGCTCCTGGGCCCATTCCTGACACAATCCCAGAAGAGTCAACTGCACTCCCCAGGGCACCAAACAGGGGCGCACTTTGTGGGGTGCACTTGGGGCCTGGGCCATGCTGGAGGGATGTGTCCTGTCCTGCTGTCCCTAGACTGTCCCCGTTAGCCCAGAGACTCACAAATCCCGTAGCCAGAGCCAGGCCTCATCTGCTGCAAGGGCAGGCAAGGGGAGCCTGAGAGCAGTGGCCGCACTGCTTCTGCCACCAATGGGGGTGGTCTGGACCCCCTTTTCCATCCATGCTCCCTTCCTACTCTGTCCTGGGGGGTCCCCTTGTCTTTAGACATTGAAACGGCTCCTGGCTGCTGTTCTGCCATCCACCCCCTGAACTCTGACCCTCACATTGCCTACGCCCTCGGTTGCCTAAAGGGCATATCAGATCTGACACACTGAAGCCCAGGCCAAGAGAGCCCTCCACAGCCACCCCCTCGCAGCTGCACCTCTGCAGCACTGCCCCGTGGCGGGGGGGTGTGAGAGGGGACCACTGACAGTGAAGATGAAGGTGGCAGTGAATAGGCAGCAAAGCCAGGCCCAGGAAACCCTCCTGCCTCTGTTCCCTTCAACTGGCTAAGCCCACAGCTCCCCCTCCACGTCATACCCCTGCTCCCTGCCCTCAGCCCTGCTCCCCTCCATTCTATCCCTCTCCTCTGTTTTCTTCTCCCAGCTTCTCCTCCATCTTTCATGTGCCTGCCCCAGGGACCCTGCAATGACACACAGCAGGCCAAGCCCACGTTTCTGCTGCTCACTCACCCCTCCCCGTGCCTGCTAACCAGTTCACCCCAGAGAGAGACCGTTGCTGATCACTCAGTTGTGGTTGTTTCTTATTTAAATTAGAAAGAAAAGACTCATTTTAAAAATATCTGCCCTCTCTCCTTATTCCTTGTTTTGTATGTGATTTCTTAGTTAATACAAAGCTAATAGCTCTTATTTTTCTTATGTTTTTAACTGCTTAGGTCTCTGGATGTAAGGGTGAGAATTCATTTGATGGAAATACTTGTGAATATTTAAAGACCCATTTACTCCTCTGGAGCTTGTACGTTCAAGAATGATTAATCTGTGTAATAAACCGATGACTACAGTCATTACATATAATTTTGTGTGATCAGGCTTTTTGATTTTAAGAACTTTGCCTAGCTAAGAGCAGTGGTGGACTTTCCCCACTCCTGAGATGTTTTCATTTATACTGGTTGCATTTCAAAAATTATAAAACAGTTCCAGTTTACATAGTAAAACAGATATCTTGAGAATAATTTTATTGCGCAAGTTAGAGGCATAAGCTTAAAAGCATTTTCATGAAACCTATATGTGCAGCATTCTAGACACATGACTGTTAAACTCAATAAAGAATAAAGAATTTGAGTTCCAGGACAGGAGTTGGCACAGCAAGAAAGACACTGAAGTTTTTACTAAGATTTATTTATTTGTATTTGAAAGGCAGATTTACAGAGGAGAGACAAAGGTCTTCCACTTGCTGTTCCATTCCCTGAATGGTTGCAATGGCCAGAGCTGGGCTGGTCTGGAAGTGGAGTAGCTGGGACATGAACCCACACATATATGGGATGTCAATGCTATAGGCAGAGGATTAGCCTACTAGGCCACCTTGACCCCCAGACACTATATTTTAAATGCCCACTAATCACTGGGCAGCCCTACTGTGTTATCTTCCCAGCTTTATTTTTATTTTCGTGCAAACACTTGGCTTATCTGCTTGGCTGACTGACTAGTCATTCAACTCCCAAATTCCCACAGGCCCCCTTCCCACTCTCCACAGCCACCCAGAGTATGCATCCTATGCCCAGGACAGGGCTTAGTCTTGTGTCCCCTGACCCCCCAGCTATGGGGGTGCCTGGTCCTGGCTGGTGGTCAGCACAGGGGTCCTTACTGGCTTGGGCTGGACTGAGGCTCAGAGTGGCTCAGCCAAGGACAGATATAGTTCTAACACACACACACACACACACACTCTCTCTCTCTCCCCCTTTCCTGTGGGACCCCTTAGCACTGCCTCTCTCCTGCCTCTCCCAGGGTGGGGACAGAACACCTCAGTTCACGGTCTGACTTCTCTCCTGGTCACAGACTGAGGCTCCTCTGCTGATCCGGCCCTACCTGGCAGACATGACCCTGTCTGAAGTTCACGTGGTCATGACTGGAGGCTACGCCACCATCGCCGGCAGCCTGCTGGGCGCCTACATCTCCTTTGGGGTAGGTAGATCCCTCCCACTGCCCACCTGGGCCGGGGGTCTGGAGCCCTCCCACTGCCCGCCTGGGTCGAGCACCTGGAGCCCACCCTGGGGACCCCAAGCAGCTCCTGGCTGGAGCAGCGCTGGCTTCTGTCTTGGGCCTGAAGCTGGGGGTGCTGTGCTGGCAGGAGGAGCAAGGCAGGTGGGTGAGCTGGACCATCCTTCTGGCTTCTCTCATGCCTACCTGGGTACGAGTCCTGGCTTCCTGTTTCCTGAGTATCTACTAGTGCCAGGTTGGGTGCCAGGGTTTATTTTGTTCTTTTGAAAATTTATTTAGGGCCAGAATGGTGATACAGTAGGTTAAACAACTTCCATGGTGCCACTTGCCTGTGAAAGCAGCAAAAAGTGGTCCAAGTGCTTGGCTCCTGCCCCCTGTGTGACCGGGAAGGAGCTCCTGGCTCACTGGTCCAGACATCCGGATGGAAGAACTCTCTGTCCCCATCTCTGTCAAATACAATAGAGACAGACACAGATCTTCCATTCTTTGATTGATTTCCCAAGTGGCCACATGAAACCAGGATTCTGGAACTCCATCCAAGTTCCCACATGAGTGCAGGGGCTCCAGCACGTGGCCCATCCTCTGCTGCTTTCCTAGGTGGGAGCTGGGTCAGAAGTGGAGTGTCTGGGACTTGAACTGGTACCCATATGGGTGCTGGTATCATACAGGTGGCGGCTCCATCCACTGTACCACAGTGCTAGAGGGTTTAATATCCCCATTTCAGAGGAGAGGAAATTGAGGCCTGTGAGTATGAGAGCTGTCCAAAGCCAGAATCTGAGCCTGGATCTGTCGGGCTTTAAGCGCAGGCTCATTTCCCCACACCGCACACACTGACATGGTTCCTGGAGATCATCTTCCTCCCCCAGTTTCTATCTCCCCCTCCACTCCTCTTCCCACTCTCTCTGACTTCCCACTTATGGTGCTGGCTCAGCACAGTGCACTGTGGGTGAACTGGGCCCTCAGGGTAACCACAACACTGCTTCCTGGCAGGTGGAGAGGGAGCTCCAAGGTGTCCCTGTAAAGTTCAGGGGCATTCTGCTTTGTGCTTGCAAATGTCCTGCATTTGTGCCTTCTACAATTGAATCCTCAAAGATCTCATTTTTTTCTGAGTTGACATAGTTCTTACTTGTTGCAAACTGAATGAAGATTTAAGAGGTTACATTTTAATTTATTGAAAGTTTCTAATGTTGATTGCACAGTTGAGAGGGATGCATGCCCATGTGGGTGTCTGATTAGGATGGGGAAGGTTGAGGTGTGGTCAATGAATGTTTCAGTACTTTTTCTTTCCAACATCCACAGCAGTGGGTGGGGGAAGGGAAGGGGCCACTCCCTTGCTGTCAGCCAACATCAGCACCCAGAGAGCAGGAGACAGTCATTTGATGACACCTGGAGACCCCGATGTAGTTAAGAATGTCTAAGAATGTCGTAAAGGCGTTACCTGAGTGGTTTCAATAGTTTCAAGACATTCTCGTTTCTTTGCACCAGATTTGAGAAACATTTTTCCAAGATCTGTTGGCTGTCCACAGACCCAGTTATTTGTTGCAAAGCTTGGCCAGGAGAGCTGTCCAACCCATTCTGTTTTCCGTCCTCTATGAGACATTCCCCATCCCCTGCTGGCCTAGATGAGCTGTCTGTCGTGTCCTCCTTGTGCATCTGGGCCTGCCCACTGCACAGGCCTCAGCAACTGAGGATGCCCAGTCCTGACACTTGTACTCCAAGGTTGGACTCCCTATCTTGGGGGTTTTCCCTGAGGAGGGACTTTGAGTCCACAGGAGATCTTCAGTCTTGACTCTTGTGTGTGCCACTTAGTGCAGGGTCAGGTTCAGTTCATCTCTTGCATGAGCCAGCCCACGCACCACTATGTGCATAGCCCTCTCACCTGAGTCAGCAGGTGCCGTGGTCTAGCTCAGCCTAGCCTGCCCCAGGTTCAGCTCACATGCTTTCTGCCACATACTGTGATCTAGTTGGGGTAGCCCCTGACAACCCCCACCAGGCCCGGCCCCAGGCCTTATTTTTTGGTAAAGATTTATTTTATTTTTATTGGAAAATTAACTATACAGAGAGGAGGAGAGACAGAGAGAAAGATCTTCCGTCTGCTGATTCACTCCCCAAGTAGCCACAGTGGCCAGGGCTGAACAGATCCGAAGTCAGAAGCCTCTTCCGGGTCTCCCACGCAGGTGCAGGGTTCCAAGGCTTTGGGCTGATCTTGACTGCTTTCCCAAGCCACAAGCAGGGAACTGGATGGGAAGCAGGGCCTCCAGGATTAGAACTGGTGCCCACATGGGATCCCGGTGCGTGCAAGGCAAGAACTTTAGCCACTAGGCTACTATGCTGGGCCCTTGGTCTTATTTTTGTGCATGCTGGCCAGTGCTTTGGCTTAACCCAGGCCAACCCACCCCCACGCCTGGTTCTTGGGTGAACCAGTGGGTGCTGAGGCCTGAGCCAGTCCAGCCCACATTCCATCCTGGCTCTCTTGAATGCCAGCGGATGTTGCGGCCCAGTCAGGAGCCCATTCCTAGTCCCAGCCCTTGCCTGCAGGTGCTGCAGCCTAGCTCATCTTGGCTCACCCCCAACCAAGGCCTTTGCATATGCCAATGGGTGCTGAGACAGCCCAGACTACTCCTGGATCCAGTTCTCACACGTGCCAGTGGGCACTGCAGCCTTACCCAGCCCAGATGCTCCCAGGCCCAGCTGTTGTGGATGCCAGTGGGTACCATTGCCTTGCCTGGCCTGGCCTGCCACCGAACCCAGCTCTTGAGCATGTGGAAGGGTGCTGCCATCCAGCAGGGGTGAAACCACATACTCCCTACTGGACCTGCTCCCAGCCCCCATCCTTCCGTGTGCTGCTGGGTGCTGCAGCCCAGGCTGCCCTTGCTTAGTCCTGCCCGGATACTCACCAGTGGGTGTGGCAGCCCAGCCCTGCCTGTCCCAGTGCTCAGCCCAGGATTTCATATGTGCCGATGTGCGATGCTACCTAGACCAGCCCTGCTCTTCCACATGGGCTGGAAGGTCACTTTTTAAATCTCACATCCCATAACTAACTGCTTAAAAAAACAGTGTTTGTATTTGAAAGGCAGAGTTACAGAGAGGAGAGACATAGTGAAAGATTTTCAAGCCCCTGCTTTACTCCTCAAATGACCGCAGTGCTTGGGACTGGGCTGGCCTGAAGCCGGGAGCCAGCAGCTTCTTCCAGGTCTCCCATGTGGACCCAAGGCCTATGGCCATTCTCCACTGCTTTCCCAATCACATTAGCAGGGAGCTGGATGGGAAGTGGAGCAGCTGGGACACAAAACAACACTGATAGGAAATGCTGGCACCACAGGCTGAGGCTTAACTTGCTATGCCACGGAGCTTGCCCCAGTAACTGCTTTTTAATTTTTATCTTTATTTGCAAAGCTGAGAGACTGAGAGTGTCCATTCACTGATTAACTCCCAGTTGACTAAAACAAGGACATGGCATTCCTTATGGGCACTGGTTCAAGTCCTGGCAGTTTTACTTCCAATCCACTTCTCTCTCTGTAACTTTGCCTTTTAAAAGAAAAAAAGAAGAAGAAGAAAGAAAAGAAAAGAAAAGTCTTCAAAACAATAAGTTGAGGCTGTTCTATACAGACCTGTGCACCTGCTGTGTCCTTGTCCCTCATCCTGAGCGGTCACAGACTGCAGGCCGAAGTAGGGAGGCTGTGGGAGCCCCGGGGCAGTACACATCCCCCTAAATGTGGACGCTGGACGCTTGTCTCGGCTCCTGGCCTTCCCACTGGGCGCATCAGCACACTGCCCCCCCTTCCCCCACCCCCCCCATCCCCCGTTTGGGGACCTTGACCGTGCATCTGTTCCTAGCCCTGGGCACTCGGGGTTCCCCTCCAATAGATAGCACTGTGGCTACGCACTTCCCATTCGCTCCCCAGAACGCATGGAGGCTGTCAGGACAGCCACGTGGCCCCCAGAACTCAGGTGTGGAAGCCGGCGTCGGGGTCTGGCGGTTACAACCCTGGCTGCCTGGGAGAAAAGCTGTCAGCCTCCTCCTCGCCCGCTGCCTCCTTCTGCATCTGAAGCTCTCCTCTGCCCCCTCCTGGCTGAGAGCCGCCACTGCCCCGCCCCACCTTGGTCAGCTGCCCAGTGGCCATCCCTTCCTGCCTGTCCCTCTCCTTTAACACCTGCCCCCGGTCAGGTTGCCACAGTGACCATGTACACAAGAGATCTCCATAGAATTCCTACTTACCTGGATTTACAATCAGCCCTTTGTTGTTTTCTTAAAATAACTTTTAATTTCATTTTCATTTTCTTTGAAAGAGACTGACCTTCCATTTACCGGTTCCTTTCCTCACCCCCATCCCCAAATGACTTCAAGAGCCAGGACTGGGTCAGGCTGATGCCAGAAGTGAAGAATTCCATCAGGGTCTCCCACACGGGTGGCAGGGGACTGTATTTCAGGGTGCGTGTTAGCAAGGAGCTGGATCCCAAGCTGAGTAGCAGGATGCTGACCACCCAAGCCGACTTACCTACTGTGTCAAGCGCCCGTCTCCTAGAGTCGGCCCCGGTAACTGCAGGTTCCACATCTGGATTCCAACATTCCTGGGATCAAAAATATAGACTTGTCCTCTTGTCACTAGTCCCTAGATGACATGGTGGAACTGTTCATGTGGCATTCCTGGTGTAGCAGGTGCTATAATACGTCGCCGAGTGCCAGCTTAGGTACAAGGAAGAGGGCCCACGTTCTAGGCAAATTAGATTGTGTTTCAAAAAGTTTGCATTATACACAATTAAAAGGCAAGTTTATGTTGGCACGAAAATGTGGGAGAAAACATGCATAGTTTTTTCACAGTACACACACACCTTTAAAAAAGAGTTATTTATTTTTATTGCAAAGTCAGATATATAGAGAGAAGAGACAGAGAGAAAGATCTTCTATCCAATGATTCATTCCCCATACGGCCACAACAGCCGGAGCTGAGCCGATCCAAAGCCAGGAGCTGGAGCTTCTTCTGGGTCTCCCACACAGGTGCAGGGTCCCAAAACTTTGGGCTGTCCTCGACTGCTTTCCCAGGCTACAAGCAGGGAACTGGATGGGAAGTGGAGCAGCTGGGACATGAACCGGTGTCCCTGTAGGATGTCAGCGCATGCAAAGTGAGGATTTTAGCTACTAGGCTACCATGCTGGGCCCTACACATACACTTTTAAGAGACCCCTGGAATACCTATATAAGTATCAACATTATCTAATGCCAAAACCAAGCATGTCTTTTAATTCCATATTCCATACACTTTTTGAAGTCCCTGCACACAGGGCCTTTTTATGGGAGGGACTTCATTGAATATCCATGGAGCCTGATACCCTGGCAGGGCCCTATGAATGCTGAGAAGTGGCTGTTTCCTTTTTCTTCTAGAACATTCCTATGGAGCATCTTTGGGATGGGCATGGGTCCTGGGGTGCCAGGCAGGGGGAGGCCTGGGAGCTGTCAGGGGCTGCAGGGCAGCCAGCCACAGGAAGCCAGGCACGGGCCACTCCCGCACCCAGGGGTGTCACCGAGCAGGGCTCTACCCTTGTCACAGTGGGCAGGACACCACCCGCCGTGGCATTTGGGGCTGTGGCCAGGCCAGCACCTCCAAGGACAGTGTCCATGAAAGTGACACATGCAGGGTGTGCTGTCCATTGGGACTCAGATTTCCAGAACAGGTGTTGTCTCCATGCTGGGGAGAATTCTACCCCCACAGACTGGGGAAGGACACTGGCTGGCGCTCAGGCCTGGGAGGGGCCCTGGCTTTCCTGAGATGCCCACGTATGTGCTCCAGGCCCTCCTGCATCCTCCACTCAGCCCAAGCATGAAGGTCTCAAACCTGGCTTTTTACATCCTCAAGATGTAAGGACTGTATTTAGCTCAGCATAAAGAGCAGGAGAAAAGGTGTGTTTTGCATCACTGTTGATAAAAGGATTTATATGGTCATGGACATAATGGAAAAATGCAAAAAGAAAATAAATTCAGAGAGACCAGCACTGTAGTATAGTAGTTAAAGCTGCCAACATCCCATGTGGCCGCTGGTTCGAGTCCTGGCAGCTCCATATTTGAACCACCTCCCTGCTAATGACCTGGGAAAGCAGTGGAGGATGGCTTAAATCCTTGGAACTCTGCACCCGTGTGGGAGACCCGCAAGAAGCTCCTGGCTCCTGACTTCAGACAGGTCCAGCTCTGGCCATTGCAGTTGCTTGATGAGCCGATTGAGGAATAAACCAGCATATGAAAATGCCGGAGACCAGCTCCAGCCGAGTTCGGAGCTCGGGAAGGGTGTGTGGAGTCGGCGATAAAGAAAGACACAGACACTGTTGCTACAGCTCAAGAAGCTGTCCTTTTTATTTACTTAGACACATCACAAGCCTCTGCACAAATGATTGATTTTACTATCATTAACTTCAGAACTAAGCCAGCACGCACAGATGTTCAATTAATTTTTACTTCTTGGTCAACCAGGCGCTCTTAAAGATAATTCTGTAAGTTACTATAATCAGTTTCTTTAAAGCAAGCCGATATTCATTCTTCAGAAGTAGCCATTAGGTGACAGCCAGAACTCCAAGGCCAGGGCACAGATGGTAACCTACTAATCAGTAAAACATTCCTACTACATTTTATTTTCACAACTTATCTATCACTTAATGGGGGAAATACTTCAAAAGGGACAAAAAAACATAAAGATCTAAGACAAAAAGTTTCAATCATTAAATCCCTCTACAACCTCATAAACAATCAAACAATAGTCAAAAGTATATCTCTAAGATGTTAATAAAATTGCCCTATATTTCCTTTAGTTAAAAAAATTATGAAAGCAGCTAAAACAGCTACATTTTCTATGCTCTAAAGAGTTGCAAGTACAGTCTAACCCTTAGGGTCACAGTAACTATATTTTTTGCCATAGCAGTTTCAGCTCATACTCTCATCACTTCCATTAGTTTGTAAGATTCTTATCAAGCCATTTCCCAGAAGGCATGCTGCATGTCTGGGCCAGATTCCAGGGCAATGGGCAGGCACACAATAAGGTGTCCAGAAACGGCATGGGCTTAATTAATCCTGTGCACAGTTAAAGGCCCACTCACCAGAATATTAGCAATAACATTAACTCCCAAATTCACATCTGTTACATCTCACAGGGGCAAACAACAATGTCTCAATAGATTACAGAATTCCTAGTGGGGTGCTAGAGTGTCCATGCAACAAGGGGGTGAAACAGCGACAAGGTGGTCAGAGAGAAATCCGCTGGGCCCTGCCAAACAGCTGGAAGCTCCCCCGGGCCCTGCCAAGCAGGGAGCTGTTCTCTTCACACCTTCATGTCATCCGCACCCACTGCACGGACCCCAGCATGAAAGGTCTCTTTCTGTTTCTGCACTCTCTGTAACTCTGACTTTCAAGTAAAATAAATAGATCTTACCCAGTAAAGAAAAATTCTAATGTATTTATCTGAGAGCACACACACACACACACACACACACACACACACACACACAGGCTCCCATCCACTCCCCAGATGTTCACAATAGTCTTGGACTGGGTTGAGACCAAAGCCAAGAGCCTGCAACTGATTCCAGGTCTGCCTTGAGGGTGACCTCGTCCTCACTACCACCCAAAGTCCCTGTTGGCAGGAAATTGGAGTCAGGAGCCAGAATTAGAATTCAAACCCAGACAACAATGTGGCTCTCGGACACCTTAGCTGCAGGGCCAAATGCCCACCCCTAAAACTACAGATTTTTCTTCATGTTTTTTTTTTTTTTAACAGAATTAGAGAAAGAGGAAGAGAGGGAACTTCCATCCTCTGCTTCACTCCCCAAATGGCCTCAATGATAGAACTGAGGTGACCAGGAACCAGGAGCTCTGGGTCTCCCGTATGGATGCAGGGGCCCAAGGACCTGAGCCATCCTCTGCTGCTTTCCCAGGTGTATCAACAGGAAGCTGGAAGGGAAGTGGAGCATCTGGGACTTGAAGCAGCACTCATATGGGGTGTTGGGGTTACAGGCAGCACCTTTATCTGCCACATCACAGCGCTGGCCCCTAAATTTCTCTTTTAATTCCTGATTTGCCTTTTTGATGCTTGTCAAGCTCCCAGGGATGAACCGGGCTGCATCTTAGATCCATGCCAACTCATAGCCTCTGGAACTTCACTCCTGGGGATTGGTGGTCAAGAGGAGACTGCCTAGAAGGGAGGAAAGACCTGGAGTTGGGGGCCGCAAGGACACCTTGGCACCCCTTCTCTGCATGAGCGTGGACAAAGTCACCATGGACCCTTTGGGCCACGGTGCTCCTGTCTGTGAGGGGAGGCAGCAACAATGGCCCCCATGACTCACAGCCTGGTGGGAAACACCTCCCGACAAAGCTGTGAGCCTCCACTCTAATGGGTGTGGCGGTGGTGAACCATGAGGCCTGCCGGAATGTGACCAGGGTAGCTGGGGGCAGGGGGTGCGGGTGGCAGTCAGGGCACATGCCTGCTGCCCGGAGCCCCCTGTGTCACCCCCACTTTCACCCTCACAGATTGATGCATCCTCCCTTATTGCTGCCTCCGTGATGGCCGCCCCCTGTGCCCTGGCTCTGTCCAAGTTGGTCTACCCTGAGGTGGAGGAGTCCAAGTTCAAGAGAGAGGAAGGCGTGAAGCTGAGCACTGGGTGAGCATGGGGCAGGGGCAGGTGGAGCAGACAGCAAGGGGCAGGGCTGTCTCCTCCCACCACTTCCTTCTGGGGAGCCCTGCCCAGGCTGGGGCCTCCCTTGCCAGAACTTGCATCTTCATGTCCAGGCTCCGGCCAGCAGGAAGCAAGGGCTGGGCTGAAGCCTTGGGAAGGAGGCCCAGCTTGGGGGTGAGGTGGGTGCTGGTGTATGGAGGCTCACACGCAGGCCCATGCCCTGTCCCAGAGGGGTCCACCAGGGCCTACAGGGGATAATATTGGCCAGGCATTTGTGTGATTAGGGGTACTATGGGCAGCCCCAACATTTTGAATGATGCAGGAGCTGTCTAAGAAAGTGGAAACAAGCAGGTTTGCTTTTTAAATTTATTTTATTTACGTGAAGGTAGTTACAGTGTGAGAGGAGACACAGAGAGAGAAATCTTCCTTCCACTGGTTCACTCTCCAAATGGCCACAACAGCCAGGGCTGAGGTAGACCAAAGCTGAATGCTAGGAGTCTCTTCCAGGTCTCCCACACAAGTGCAGGGTCCTAAGGCCTTGAGCTGTCCTCTTCTGCTTTCCCAGGCCACAAGCAGGGAGCTGGATGGGAAGCGGGGCTGCCAGAAATGAAACGGGCGCCCATATGAGATGCTGGTACTTCAGGAGGCAGTTTTACTGGCTGTACAACAGCGCTGATCCCCAAATACATGCTTTTAAGAAAATGGTGTTTCACTCATACAGAACTTCCTTCCAAAGTCTTGGAAAAGGGCATTGGCGGGGGGTGGAGGCTGGGCGTTGGGTGTTGGACCTAGTGGCCCAGGCACAGGCAGGACACCCACGTCTGTGTCTGAGGGCCTGCTTCATCCCTGCTCCGTCTCCTGCCCCCACTTCCTGCCAGTGTTAGGCCCTGGGAGGGGACGCCTGCATGCCGAGGTTCCCACCCCCTGAACCCCACTGTTGGGTGTCTGGCTCCCAGCTTAGGCCTGGGGAGCGAACCTGTTCTCTCTCCCTGGCTGTGTTCCTCTCACATAGCCATTAAAAACAAAAAGGGTACATTCACATTGGTGCAAAATACTTTTAAAATCTGTGCACAGGGTCTTCAAAAAGTTCATGGAGAATGGGCAATTAAAAAAAAAAACTTTGGGAGGATCTCAATTTATTTTGAACCCAAATAACCTTTTATTTTTTTTAAGAAAAATTCTAATATTTTGCAAACGTTTTGAAGCCAGAGGGTTACAGGAATGCATTGTTTCCTCACATATCCAAATCATGTCATAATAAAAGAAATAGTGAGGGTTGTTTTGCTTTGTTTTGTTTGCACTTAGAATGCAAGGCGGTGTGCGCCAGCCTCCTGTCGAAGGTCAAAAGCCACTGGTCACAGGTGGCTGATGGCTTCTGTCTTGGGCAGAATCGGGGGTCGGGAGGATGCTCTGTCCAAGGTGCCTCCCAGGCCTGCAGGCAGGGAGCGGCCAGTGCTGACAGCTGGCTCTCGGCGCCCACATACAGAGACGCCCAGAACCTCGTGGAAGCCGCCAGCAGCGGGGCCGCGGTCTCCGTGAAGATCGTGTCCAACATCGCCGCCAACCTGGTGGCCTTCCTGGCCGTGCTGGCCTTTGTCAATGCCACGCTCAACTGGCTCGGCCATCTGGTGGATGTGCAGGGGCTCAGCTTTGAGGTGTGAGTCCGCAAGGGGCTGGTGGTAACGGCGTGGCCCTGGGACGGGCAGGGCCAGGGTGAGGGGTGCGATGCTGGAGACCCCCGGTCCCCTCCCGTGTCCGCAGCTCATCTGCTCCTACGTGCTGCGGCCTGTGGCCTTCCTGATGGGCGTGGCCTGGGAGGACTGCGCGGTGGTGGCGGAGCTGCTGGGCATCAAGCTGTTCCTGAACGAGTTCGTGGCCTACGAGGAGCTGTCCAGGTACAAGCAGCGCCGTTTGGCAGGGGTTGACGAATGGATCGGCTCCCAGAAGCAGTGGATCTCGGTGAGTGACCGCGTGCTGGCTGACCTGATTCTGGGGCCTGGAACCAGGCGGTGCCTTCCTTGCCTCTGTGGCTGGACATAGTCACTATTATCCCGTAAGTGGATTGCAGCTACTTTTAAAAGAATGTACCATTGTGACTTGAGCATCCCTGTTGGGCTGACTCCTGCTGGCTCCCAGCCACACTGCTGAAGCATCAGGGACTACCCCTTGTCCTGGGCCACTTCCTGGGGAACTTGCCCAGATGGGACTGAGTCACCGGGCCTGGGTACCCTGTGGTGGCTGACCCTGTTGTGGGCCCATCACACAGATGCTGGGCAGCCTCCACATGGACACACAGGCTCAGCTGTCTTCAGGAGCCCATTTGCATGTCTCAGGGGACAGGGAAGTTTGGAGGGGAATGAATTTCTTCCCAATTACTTTTTTAAACTGGCAATGACGTTGCTCTGCAGTTTTAAAAGAGAAGTTGGCATACAGGAAGCAGTGCAAGTTTCCACAAGAACCCTCCCCCAGGTCCTCACTCCTTGGACTGTCCCAGCGCCACGGTCCTTCTGTGTCTGTTAGCTCGGACTTCAGTTCTTCAGCAACTATTTACTGAGACCACTAAGAGCACCAGGAATTTTTTTTTTTAAGATTTATTTATTTTTATTGGAAAGGCTGATATACAGAGAGGAGGAGAGACAGAGAGGAAGCTCTTTTATCCGATGATTCACTCGCCAAGCAGCTGCAACGGCCAGAGCTGTGCTGATCTGAAGCCAGGAGCCAGGTGCCTCTTTCAGGTCTCCCACATGGGTGCAGGGTCCCAAGGCCTTGGGCCGTCCTTGACTGCTTTCCCAGGCCATAAGTAGGGAGCTGGATGGGAAGTGGGGCCACCGGGATTACAACTGGAGCCCATATGGGATCCCGGCACATTCAGGGAGAGGACTCTAGCTGCTTGGCCACCGCGCCGGGCCTGGAAGGCTTCTGTCTAATATGAGAAGCAGGCAAAACATAATGAGGCAAAGGAGTTTATCAAAGCAGAACAACGAAAACATCCCAGGACAATTGCAGCAGCATAGTGAGCTAATCCTCCTCCCCCAGTACCATCATCTAACATGGGCACCGGTTCAACTCCTGGCAGCTCCACTTTCAGTCCAGATCCCTGCTAATAACCTGGGACAGCAGCAGGGAATCACCCAGTGCCCACGTGGGAGAGCTGGATGAAGCTCTTGGCTCCCAGCTTCAGACTGGCCCAGCTCTGGATATTGTGACCATTTGGAGAGTGAGCCAGTGAATGGAAGATCTCTCTTTTTCTCTCTCCCTGTCTCTCTGTCACTTTACAGAGAGAGAGAGAATAAAAGAGAGAGAGAGAGAGAATGCTTTCATCTCCACAAAGGTTGGTGCTGGGCCAGGATGAAGCCAGAAGCTCCATCCAGACTCCAAACAGACCCAAGCAGTCTTCTGCTGCTTTCCCAGGTGCATCAGCAAGGAGCTGGATCAGAATTGGAACAGCCAGGACTCTAACCAGCACCCACATGGGATGCCAGTCTCGCAGGTGGTTGCTTAACATGCTGCACCACAGTGCCGATCCCAATAAAATAACTTGCAAAAAAAGAAGGCACAAGGATACATGAGATATGGGGAAGGCAGGGCACGGCAGGAGGGCAAGAGGCACTCTGCCCACTCATCCTGTCTCCTCAGGTCAGAGCAGAGACCCTCACTACATACGCCCTCTGCGGGTTCGCCAACTTCAGCTCCATTGGCATCATGCTGGGAGGCCTGGGTGAGTTCCCTCCTTCCCCAGGGTCTTCCCCTCGGGACACCCGAGCCCTGTGGGTCTCTGTCGTCCCCTTGGTCAGGGGCCAGGCCTGAACAAGACGCTCATTCAAGGGGGCTCTTCCAGCTCTGGGAGCCCCTGGTTCTCTGTGCTGCCCAGGAAGTTGTACCCTGGTCCTGGAGACTGAGTTCAGCCCAGGGCCTGAGCAGAGACAGGGAGGGTGGAGCTGGGCTGTCCTCCAGCCGGGGCCTGCCTGTTCCCACACCCACCTGTGCAGGCCAGGCAAGCGTGGAGGGAGGGGGACCCAGAGGGGGAGAAGCTGCCCAGACCCCAGTCCTTCACAAACAGCCTGGGCTCCTCGCAGTCCCCCTGCCTGGGGCTGCAGCCAGCCCATGCTGCACAGGAGGGGGCCGAGTCCTGAAGCTGAGTGGTGGCCCAAGTCACCCAGATCCCAAGTGCTGGGGCCTATAGGAGGGGACTTCAAAATGTTTGTGGAAAATGGAATTGAAAGGTGAGTTGGGGGGGTGGGGTGTGAGCTGGGGGGTGTGTGGCAGGAGAGCAGTTGACCTGCTAGTTAAACTGCTGGCTGCTTAGCCTGTGTGCAAGCCCTGCCTGGCTCCTGGACCTGTCCTACGCTGACGCAGACCCTGGAATTGCAGTGGGGGCTGGGTCCACTGGGTCCCTGTCCACACAGGGGAGGCCTCGGGCCTGGCCAGCTGTTATAGACACTTAGGAGTGAGTCCATGGATGGGAAAACATTCTCATTCTCTTTCAAATATATATATATATATATATAATCAAATAAACAGTTTAAAACATTTTAGAAAGATGTGGGCTTGGGAAGGGGCATTCAGCTTACCAGCTAAGTTGCTTGCGCATTCCACATCTGAGTGCCCAGAGTTTTTTTTCTTTTATCATTTTATGATACAGTCCCATAGGCCCTGGGATTTCCCTTATCTCCTCTCCAATGCCCTCCCCCCTCCCTGAGTTCCCCTATATCATCACTATAGTACTTCATACACAATCATATGTCCATCATTGTGGGCATGGACAATGGCAGAGTCCAGCATCCTATTGTCAAGATATAGTAAACAGTTTCATTGGGAGTCCATCTTTAGTCTGGAAGAGATGCATACTGCATTGTATCCTCACATCTGGATATGATAGTCTCTATTTCAGAGTTACTGTACATCCCCTTAAATGAAGATCCTATCCCACCATCTCGATTCTCCGATAACTTATTTTCATACAAAAAAGTTTAACATATATCCCTATGAGGGATCTTCAGAAAGGTCATGCGGAAATGTGTGTGATGAGAAAACCACAGATGCATTTCAAAAACATTTTTACATTAAACTCATCTTTCTTGAAAAAATTTATTTACTTATTTATTTGAAAGACAGAGTTACAGAGGAAGAAGGAGAGACAGAGAGATCTTCCATCCTCTGGTTCCCTACCCAGATAACTAAATAGCCAAATTTAGGCAGGTCTTAATCTAGAAGCCAGGTCTGGTGCAGTAGCCTAGAGGCTAAAGTCCTCACCTTGCACATGTTGGGATCCCATATGGGTGCCAGTTCTGATCCTGGCTGCTCCACTTCCCATCCAGCTCCCTACTTGAGGCCTGGGAAAGCAGTTAAGGATGGCCCAAAACCTTGGGACCCTGCACCTGTGTGGGAGGCCTGGAAGAAGCTCCTGGCTGCTGGCTTCAGATAGGTTCAGCTCTGTCCATTGTGGCCACTTGGGGAGTGAATCATCGGACAGAAGATCTTTCTCTCTGTATTTCCTCCTCTCTGTATATCTGCCTTTCCAAAAATAAATAAATAAATAAAGCCAAGAGCCATCAGATTCTACTTTATTTTTATTGGAAAGGAAGACTTACAGAGAAAATGAGATACAGAGAAAAAGATCTTCCATCTGCTGATTTACTTCCCCAAGTGGCCGCAATGGCCAGAGTGAGCTGATCTGAAGCCAGGAGCCAGGAGCTTCTTCTGGGTCTCCCACATGGGTGCAGGGTCCCAGACTTTGGGTCATTCTCTTATGCTTTTCCAGCCTATTAGCTAGGAGCTAGGATCAGAAATGGAGCAGCTGGAACACAAACCTGTTTCCATATGGGACACTGGCGCTTGTAGGTGAGTTAGGGTACTGGCCCCTAAACTAATCTAACTCCATTTTCCACAAAGTGCCTTAAAGCTAAGTCTGTGTGACTCCAAACTTGTGTTCCCTCCCTGTGTCTGCCACAGATGATGTGTGGAAGGGTCTGGGGATGTCACCAGGTCCAAGGTGCAGCATGACGGGAGGGGGAGGGAGGGGTTTCCAGAAGTAGACGAGGAGCCCTGAGGGTGGACTGAGCAGAGCTGGGGGCCCCTACCCAGAATCCTTGGCCCTGAGTGCTCTCCTCCCCACCGCAGCGTCCATGGCCCCAGAACGGAAGAGCGAGTTCTCCAAGATTGTGCTCCGGGCGCTCTTCACCGGGGCCTGCGTGTCGCTGATGAATGCCTGCGTGGCCGGTGAGTGATGGCAGCCTCAGGACTATGATGTGGGGTCTGCCCACCCCTGCTGGGCCTCGCCCACCCCTGCTGTGTTCCCCCTGCCCTTGCAGGGATCCTCTATGTGCCCAGGGAGGCGCCCGTCAACTGCACTGCCCTGCTGAGCACGCCACTCACCAACAGCAGCTTCGAGGTGTACCAGTGCTGCCGCGAGGTCTTCCAGAGGTGAACACTGCCGGTGCCCACTGCAGGGGACGTGGTGGCATGGGGCGGGGGTTGGGGGGAGTTGTGGGGATCTGGGTGGACTAGAGACCCGGAGCATTCTACCTGGAACAGCACGGCCTGCCCACAGCCTGCAGAGCCTGGCTTTGAGCTCACCTCTGCCCTGTGCTTCCTCCTCAGCTTGGAGTTCGGCCCTGGGGCCCTGGACAACTGCTGCCAGTTCTACAACCGCACTGTCTGCCCCTAGAGGGGATGGAAGGATTCCTGGGTCCCCACCACCTGCTGTCCCCAGTCCCTTCCTGCAGGAGCTGTTGAGTCTGGCTGACTCCCGTCCCCTATGGGGAAATGGGTGGTGAAGTGACTGGCGCCTTGCAAGAGCCCCCAAGAATGTGAAAATGTGTCCTGCTTACGGCTCCTACTCCCTCAAACAGGAAAGCTCAGGGAGCCCTCTGTCTCCTCCTCCCTCCTCTGCACATCCCTCGCCCCCTCATCTCCCATGTCTCAGTGTGATGGCTCAGTGGCTAAATCCTCAGCTTGTACGTGCCAGGATCCCATATAAGCACCAGTTTGTGTCCCAGCCGCTCCACTTCCCATCCAGCTCCCTGCTTGTGGCCTGGGAAAGCAGTCAAGGATGGCCCAAAGCCTTGGGACCCTGCACCCTGATGAGAGACCCGGGAAAAGCTCCTGGCTCCTAGCTTCGGATTGGCTCAGCTCTAGCCATTGCAGTCACTTGGGGAGTGAGCCAGCAGATGGAAGAGCTGTCTCTCCTTCTCTTTGTAAATCTATCTATACAATAAAAATAAATATATCTTAAAAAAAAAAAAAGATGGTTAAATCCATGTGTCAGTCGCTGCTTCCCTTCCAGGAGACCAGATGCCCAGGTAGCAGGTTCTGTGTTGGGGCTGGCACTGATGCCCCCACCCGCCCCTCCCACAGCTGTGACAGGCATCACAAATCAATCTCAGCGCTGTTCTTGCCGCATCCAGAAGGAGCTCTGGAATCCCCCGTGAACTCGGGGCTGCTTGAGCCATCAAGGGAGCGACTCATCATGCCTGCACACACATTGACTTCTTGTCAGTGGCCTAGGAGGCTATCTGATCTCCACCTGTGAGGGGTGTGTGCTGCTGCAAACTCCACCCCCTGCCCATCTTCCTGTTCCCACAGGTGCTGGCCATGAGGAGGTGGGGCCTTGAGGAGATGAGCAGAAGAGGGGGAGTTGAGTCCTCATGCCTCGTATGCATACACGCGTGGATTAACGCCCTTTGCGTTTCCTTCAGGTGAGAAGCTGCCAGCGTGCAAGCTGGAAGCGGGTCCTCCCGAGCCTTGCATCCCGCCCGCACCCTGACCTTGGACCTGCAGCCTACAGGGGGGTGAGAAATAAATTTCCATAGTTTCCAGAGTTTCCATAGTCATCCAGTTCCCAGTATTTGGCCTTAGCGGCCTGAACAGACTGGGATAAGGCCCCGCCCTCATGATCTCATCTGAGCCTAATTGTCTCCCCAGGGCGCAGCTGGGGCTGAACTGGGCTAGCATGTGGGGGTGGGGCGTGATTCCATCCACAGCACCCACTGTGCCAGGGCTGGGGCAAGGCACGGGGGAGCAGCCCCCAGCAGCTCCCATCAGCAGTGACAGGTCCAAACAAAGAAGACTGCAGTACTGGGTGTTGAGAATATGATGGCAGCATCTTTGCTTTCTTGCCCAGAGCCCAGTTAATTCATTTCTGTAAGACCCAGGTTCTGTGCATAGCAAGTTTTTAATGTGATTGTGGTGCTATACACTGTAGGAGAGAGGAGAGACAGAAAGATCTTCCATCCAGTGGTACACTCCCCAAATAGGCATAATGGCTGGAACCAGGACCTTCTTCCAGGCCTCCCACACAGGTGCAGGGTCCCAAGGCTTTGGGCCGTCCTCTACTGCTTTCCCAGGCCACAAGCAGGGAGCCGGATAGGAAGTGGAGCAGCCAGGACACAAACCAATGTCAACATGGGATTTCCGGGTTTGAAGGTGGAGAATTAGTCAGTTGAGCTATTGTGCTGGACCCTAGTAACCGCTCTTAATTTAGTGAGTTCATCCTATGGGAGTGGTGACCCATGGGGGCTGGTGCTGTGGCATCATAGGATAACTCACAGCTTGCAACGCAAGCATCCCATGTCAGAGCTCTGGTTTGAATCCCAGCTACTCCACTTCCCATCCAGCTCCCTGCTAATGCATCTGGGAGGCCCAAGTGCCTGGCCCCCTGGAACCTCATGGGAGATCTGGATGGGGTTCCAGCTGCTGAGTATGCCGTGGCTGGCTATTGAGACCATTCGGGGAGTGAACCAACATGTGGAAGATCTCTCTCTCTCTTCCTTTCTCTCTATTACTCTGCCTTTCTGATAAATAAATAAAACAGTTACTCTTCATCATCAAAGCAGAGGCAAAAAAAAATACCAGCTGGGGAAGGAAGACTGGGGCCTGATGCATCTACCAAGGGCATTGGACCCAGAACAAGGCGTTCTTGTATATTATGTGTGCTACGGGCAGAGAACAAACTCTGCTAAGGCTCTCCTCCTTCCCCTATGGTTGTGCTGGGATCCATCTCTTCGCAGGGGCAGGGATTGGTCAGTCCACCACAGCCCTACAGGCACGTAATGTGAATCCCCAAGCAAATACAAGCTGCTGGGACAGGCATGGCGTGGACCGGCCTGTGAAAGTTTATTTCCTAAACTACCCAGGGACCTGGGGAAACTTTGGACCATACCTGTCCTGTAGGTGGCAGCAGAGGCACAGGCAGCCCAGTCCGCAGCCTCAAGCAGGAGCCGTCTCTAAGGCAGCCGCCTCCCGCGGAAGCAGCTCGCCCAGGCTTTGGAGCAGGGATTACAGGGCGTCCAGGAAGAGGGCAGGGCCCCTTCTGTGCTCTAGCATCTTCTGTGGACACAGCTGCACCTTCAAACCTCTCCTGGATCTCCTACTGCTGCGCCTTTCCGTGATGGTTGAGCCTCTTCAAGTGCAGTCCCGCAAGACACACTTGCTTAGAAAACTTTCGGAAAAGCAAGCTCTGTGTCTGGGTCCCTGCCCCCTGGCACACCTGTGCCCCTTCCTGCCCAAATCCTGCACCCACCGAGGTCTGTAAGTCGTCCGAGGAGCTACAGTCACCCTCCTCTCCTCCCTTCTCCCCATGAGCCTGCTGTCCTCTCAGCCATCCCTCCCTGTAACCCAAGCTCACGCCTTCAGCAGAATACTAATTAGTGCTGAGTTCCTTCCAACTGCTTGAAATTTCTTCTGGCTCAGTGAGCAGCAGGACCTTCCGCGTCATCCGAGGGTGTCTGCCCCTCCCCCGGGAGCTTCCTCCCAGAGTGTCTGCACGGATGGTGTCTGAATCATGGGACTGCACTTCCGGGAGTGATTCACTAACTGAACCAGGACCCAGTGCCTGACCCTGGGCAGGCCGAGTCTGCAAAGGCTCCGGGAAAGGACAGGAATTATAAAACCCGGAAACAGTGGGCTGGGAGCGGAGCTCTGCTGGGAGCTTGAGCTCACTCCTCCTTTTAGCGCAGCCTCCATGGTCAGCTTCTCTTTGGATTCACCAAGAGCTGAATTATTTGCAGAAATTTCCACTAACCTGAGCTAACGAAAAGGACGTTGCCCAGGATGGCTCCTCTGCTAACCTCTGCTCCCAGTCCCACACCCTGCACGGAATGAAGGGGTCGTGTGTTTAAATCCCATCCCATCCAAGACCCTCACCACCTACCGGGGCAGCCTATTGTGCATTAGAGAGCCCTGGTTCTTGGAATCAGATTGGTTTGTATATGTTATTCTCTATTTCCCAAAGTAATGCTTGCTCATTCTATTTAAGGGGTCATTTTTTTTTTTTTTTTGCCACAAAGTGTGTTTTATTTTCACTTATCATACAAATAATTTTCTATTATATCCCAGGGCAAACCAGAGAAATTTGGCAGTCCGATTAGTTGGGTGGGCCCATCAGAGACCCACAGGCCAGTGGTGGCGGCACGGAGTGCCCGGGTTCACAGCACAGCTTGTGGCTCGCATCCATCTTGCAGGTGCCTCATCTTCCAAGTCACACCTTGGGGTCTTTGAAGACAACGGGGAGGGTGGGGAGACTCCTCCCAGGCTTTTAGGAAATCTTGCTCTGTTTCTCCTGCTTGATGGTCTCTTTAGTCGGCAGGGTGTTCTCCTGCATTTCTGTCTTTAGCTTGGCTTTATCGAAGGTGGCGGATCTCTCCCATGTCGGGTTTGTCTGCCATTTTCTTACACCCAATGTGGCTCTTCCTGCTGCGAGCCTGGCTCCTGGTGATCCTGCTCAGTTGCTACAGCAAGAGACCCACAATTTTTAAAAAGATTTATTTATTTTACTTGAAAGTCAGAATTACAAAGAAAGAGAAAGCTCTCCCATCTGCTGGTTCACTTCCAAAATGGCCACAAAGGCCAGAGCTGAGCTAATCTGAAGCTGGGAGCCAAGGGTTTCTTCCAGATCGTCCATATGGGTGTAGGTACTCAAAGCTTCAGGCCATCCTCTGCTCCTTTCCCCAAGTCACCCAGCAAGGAGTTGCCTTAAAAGTGAAATAGCCAGGATTCGAACCAGCACCAATATGGGATACTGTCTCTTCAAGTGGAAGATTATCTTGCTATACCACCAGGTCAGTCCCAAAGTGTCAGATCTTACAGGCACCTTGTAAGAATATCATAGCCCCTTTACCCTGTGATAGCCCTTCAACCATTTGCACATGGCAACTGGCCAGGCCTCCCTCCCTCTCTGAGCTGGGAACCCTTTGTTCTCTTGGTTGGTCCTCACAAAAAACATTGTAGGGTATCAACGTTTGCCCCAGACCAGACTCTGAGTTGTCCTGCATTGTATGTGCAGACAGCACATGAGGAATGAGCAAGGTCCAGCAGCCATCAGAACGCCATGTGGGAAGTTCCCTCTCATAGGTGGAACCCAGATGATGCAATGGGGGTGCAGGACCAGCTCTAGACTGGGGAGGAGGTGGAGGGGGCAGGGTGTTGGGAGCCACATGCCTGCTTTGGACTTGCTTGCTAACACCTCAGGACCTGCTTATGGAGGGAGACCCTCCAGGAGGGACCACAACCATGGCAGGGGAGGGTCAGGCCAGGAGACGGGATGGGGCAGGGATGAGTAGGTAAGAGTCCAACTGCTGGGACATCTTCCTACCTGGCCACCCACAAGGAGGTCCCTGACTTACCTGGAGCTTGCTCTCCATTCACACAGGTAGAGGGGAACTGTCGCTT